TGATGTGTATACGCTTGTAATAAAAATACATTTATGTTACGTTTTATTTTACATGAGAGAAAGCAAAAAAAAACAGTAATTTTCGAGTTCATACCTTACAGCTTTTTATTATCGATACTATCGTTTTTATGAAGAGAAAGAGAGAGAGAAAAGAAAGAATAATTTAAAATAAAACGATTATAGGATATATTTTTATATAATACTATTATTTTATACTATTATATATATATTATATATATATTATTATAACATATATTTTATATATTTTTATATATTTTTATTAATATTATATATTATATATTAATATTATAATAATTGATATTACAAATATATATTATTTATTTTTAGTTTATATATTGTAAATCTACTTACAAATAAGATTTCTACATTTCTATTTGTTAAACGTCAACCACTATTGTGCAATATTCCAAGCGTAAAACGTAACTTAAACGTTCGAAGGAAAAAACAAAAGTATGAATAAACTCATAATCGAAAATAGGTCACCTGTTAACTATGTAGCTAAGAGGGGCAAGGGTTAAAGGAAGAGAAAACATAAAATAAAAAAGAAATACATATCTTTACATATATCTATAAACATATATATATATTTTCGTTAATGAAAACGTCGAATGAGGTCATAAAAGCATCAACAAGCAAACTCCACTCGTTTCACCTATTAAACTTAAAAACACGATGAACCTACGTTGTTGTCTTTGTGAATTGAACAGAGAAGTATAAAAAGAAAGAAATAAAGGGAGAAGAATGATAGAAAGAACATTTATTAACCTCGAACGATTTCATCGAATTTTCCCACGGCAGGAAAGTTATTATCAATGTTGTATAATCAAAAAAACAAAATTAGAAAGAAAAGATTATTTTTTCTAACGCCTGTAAATAGGCAAAATTGTATTATACGTTTGTTAAACGTGTTACCTATCTGCAGGAACTAAAAATTTTAAAGTTGATATAATAATATTTATGAAAATTCACTATATCTTTTTATATGTTATAGTATTTATACATGCTATGTACTTTATTCAGTGTCTATGTAATATTTAGTAATAAATAATGCAATTAGTTATTCTAAAAATTTTTTTAATTCAACGATTCGTTTGAATGAAAAATTTGAATTTTTTCTAACGCCTGCAGATAGGCAAAATTGTATTATACGTTTGTTAAACGTGTTACCTATCTGCAGGGGCTAAAATTTCAAAGTTAATATAATAATATTAATGAAAAATCATTATATTATTATATGTAACAGTATTAGTCTATGAAAATTAAAAAAAAAAGATAATAAAAAAGTTAGATAATATTTAAAATTTTATACTTCCGTCTAAATTGACATTATGTTCGTAGAACAAAAGTAACGTAAAAATCAGAAGAGTTCTGTCAGGAACATGAATAGAACACCGAGAAAAATGCTTCGACATTTGTGAAATGTCGCGAACAGAGTTTTTTAGCCGAAGTTCAACTTTTTCGAAATGACGTGCGTTCAATGATTTATCGTGAGAAAATGTTAAGATGATATTTTTCGTTATCACGAATGAGTTTTCTTTCGATTTTTGTGGTTTTGCAAAGATGATAAATAGACAGGAACGTTTTCTAAAGATTTTTTATTTCCTTTTTTTTTTATTTTTTGAATATAAAAACGTATCGATAAGACGAAAACGATGATTCATATAAAATAATCCTATCTTTTATTTTCTCTTAGAAACTTTGAAATGTTTCGCTCCAGCAGATAGATAACACGTTTAACAAACGTATAATACAATTTTGCCTACTTACAGGCGTCAGAAAATCCAAATTTGTTCATTTAATCGAATCGTTGAATTTGGAAACGTTTAACAATCAATCTTACCGATATTTACATGTTACAAATACCACACGATTTCAAGAATAACTGATTACACTACTCATTACTGTATATTACATAAACAATGACTAAAGTGCATAACATCCAACTGGATTTTGAAAATCAATCAAATGATATCAAGCTTATATTAGTCTGGTTTAATGATACGTTACTTGTCGAGAGATTTAGAAGAGGATTTGCATTTTGTCGCGAATAATCGTTTGATTCCTATCGAATTTATCCCCATTTGAATATTTATTTCATAGTGGATATTACTTCTATTCTTATCATTCGTACCATCTTTTACACACACACACACACACACACACAATTCTATTTATATTTATATTTAAACGATATGAATTCATTTCATTTGCATCGAATTTCAAACTAAAATTATACAAAAGGATGATTTAATTTCTCATTTAATTTTTTTTTTACTTTAAAACAACATTTAAGTGAATTTATTGAAATAACAATTAAATTCAACAGATTAAATATTATTTTTAGATGTTGTGTTATGTAAGAAAATATTTCTTTAAAGGCGTTCTTTAAAATAACTAAAATTTACTTAAACTTAGATCTTAGCTTTGATAACAAACGTTAGGTGATAACTATCTTAAATCCTTTAGCAAACAAACAAAGAGAAGTGCAATGAAAGTTTCGATTCCAATGCATCTTCTCGTTGCAACGTTGATCAACGATTCGACTAGTGTCGAATCTTGTTCCCTTTGATAGTTATTCATTTTAACAAACTGAATAATAATCGTAATGCAATCTCATACGTTGGGTATAGAACATATGGTTAATGAATATTCTCCAGGGTATTATGATAAAGTCAGAGAGTGAGAGAGAGAGAGAGAGAGAGAGAGAGAGAGAGAGGGAAACTAGTAAACCAAACTTGTGCCCATTAGTTCGCTCAAATATCCAAGCATTGTCTATTAGGTTTACACAATGATGTTCCAGCATAATTTAGCTTGGTCATCCTATAAATCATTAGGCTTTGCCTTTGTATTTGATCATTTATCTAAGTCCATCGTAATTAACTCCCTTTCAATCTTCACCCATTACTACTCTCTTAGTGTTTCAGTATAATTTGTTGAATTAATATAATAATAATTACATAGGTATACTTTAATTAATGTTTTTTTATTTAAAAATTTTAGTTTTATTTGATTTTTCTATATTAAAATTATAATAATTATTAATATACTTTAATTATTATTTCATATATTATTTTTGATTATATTTAAAAGGATAGAACATTTGTAACAAAAAGTATCCTTTTAATGTTCCAGTATAATTTGTAAAATAATATAATAATAATTACAAGTATACTTTAATCAATGTTTTTAATTTAAAAATTTTCAATGTATTTATATTTTTCTATATTAAAATTATAGTAATTATTAACATACTTTAATTAATATTTAATATATTATTATTGATTATAATTAAAAGGATAGAACATTTGTAACAAAAAGTATCCTCTTTTAGTGTTTGACTAGACTATATTATTATAGAATATAGTAGTATTATAGAATAATATAATAATAATTACACACATAGGTAAACTTTAATCAATGTTTTTAATTTAAAAATTTTTATTATATTTGATTTTTTCTATATATAACAATCATATTTTATCAATTACTATTTTTAGTTAATACGTTTTTATATTATATTTAAATTGTTCTTAAGTAGAATTTTGTTTAAAACGAAATTTGAATTATTATATATATATATATGAAAATAGAGAGATTTCGTTAAATCGTTTTGATATCACAAAAAAAGAGAAAAATCGAAAATCGAAAATACTTCTTGAGATATATTTTTCCTTTACTATACTTAACGCGTCGAGGAAAATAGGAAAAAAACGACATAAAAGTAAGAAAGAGAGAAAGAGAGAGAAATAGCTTTTCTAGGAATCTAAACGTGAGTGCTCTCGTTGTACGAGAAACGTGGAATTGCTTTGGTGTCCGAACCTTGAATTGCAGTAATAAAACGTAGGTGGGTACTTGTGAGATCCATTTTCTAATATCTACCTGGGGGCGGTTCGTTCATTCGATTTACTGGACGAAAGAAACGTATTAGAATTTTTCATACATCTTTTTATTATAATTATTATCACCGTTATCATTATTATTCTTATAAACTTTGACAACAGATATGTTATATATATAAAAAAGAAAAAACTGATTAGAAAAGAAACTTAATTTTCAGAAATTTAAAATGTCATATGTATACATATTATATATATAAAATTTATATTATATTATGTATTTATTATATATATTAATATAAAATATATATTATATGTATTAATAATATATTAATATTAATATATATAATTTTAACAAAATCTCTGTATTTTCATGTATTTTAATAATCCAAATGTTGTTTCAAAAAAATCCCACTTACGAACAAATTTTAATAAAACGTATTATTTAAAAATAATAATTGATAATATATATATATATATAAATTTATTAATTTAATAAACAAGAAAAAGAAAATGTGAAATCTATTTTTGTTGACAAAGATTAGAAATTTGCAGAATTGATTTTCTTTCCTTTTTGTTTCTATCGTTTTCTTTGTTTGTTCAATCGTGGCTAAAAAATCCGATCTATTATAGTAATGCAACGTGCTCATCGTTCCGTAAATTTTACGAGTTTTGCTTGCATCTTGTAAAATTTCTCGGTACAGTGATGTCGACGTATAACTTTTCGTATCCCGCGTGTTTTTCAGATGATAAAATCCGATTTGTCTTTTTACTGTCTCTCATAGAACTTTCTACTTTCATTGCTATCTTTTCTATTTATTTTTTCCAATTTTGTATCAATCAATATATCTTTTATACATTTTTACACACATATATAAATGTATATATAACACAAGTCAATATTTTTATTTGAAGTAAGAGAAAAATAGAAAAATATATTTTACAAAATATTTTTTTATATTGTTTATATATAACATTTACAGCCCTAAATAAAGAAAAAAAGCCTAATTCCTATTATTTTAATATGATCAAAGTATTGAAAACTTACTTTAAATGTATATAAAATAATGGTGTACACACCAATCGTAAAATAAAAGTTAAATTTGTAAAACTTGTCTAACCTAATCGTTTGTTTTTCAACAGGTACATGGCCATAGTAAACCCATTGAGACAAAGAATGGGTCGTAGAGCAACTCTCTGTGTTGCTGTAGTCATTTGGATCGTCGGTGCAATTCTTTCCTTTCCAATGCTACTCTTTAACACAACTTACACACAAAATTTCGCTAATGGTGAAATACGAATAATATGTTATAGTGATTGGCCTAACAGAGATGACGATGGTCTTAGCTTTCAAGAATATCTGTAAGTATAATCAAATATCTGAAATCATTTCTATATTTACACGTTTACATTTCAATCAGAAAATCGATAAACAAAACATCGAATCATAGTGGCGTGAAATTTTGAAATAAAAAAATAACAAAAAATGACAATAAGAGAAAGGAGAGAGAAACCTGAATTAAACTAACAACAAGTTGGTGTATGAAAGTTCATCGTATTATGAACAACGCAGTGGAACCTCATAGAGAGGTTTGAGTTAAATGGCAAAAGGGCTTTAATGTCAACTCCACATTCTGACTGACCCTTTAACGATTTCCATCAACGAGCCACGTTAAAGGCACGCGTATTTTGCCTGTCCTTTGTCTTTGTCCAAAGAGCTTATCATTATCTGAGGAATTAAAAAATATAAAAGAAAAACCAAACATAGATCTCTCGGAATTTTTAATACTTCGTGTACAACAAACTTAACAAAAAAGATATTCATACAAAAGAAAACCTGTTTTCAAATATTTTCCTAGGAAAAAAAAAACTGATTAAATTCGAGTCAATATTTTTTAACAATTTCAATTTCAATTTCAAAAGTACAGCATTAACACGTTCCGTGCCACGTTCTTTTTACTTTTACTTGATTTGTCATTCAGGCCATTTAATTTTACTTTAATAAATAATCATTACATGTAATTATTAATTATTGTAAATATAACAATTAAACAAACTTATGTGCTGCTTGGTTCTATACTGTATTTTGTATAATGCATCAATATTTTAATAGGAATATCTTTGAATTCAATTAAATTTATTTAAATTTAGAATTAAATTCGTTATAAACAAATATATAAAATATATTTTAATAGAAATATTTTTGAATTCAATTAAATTTAATTAAATTTAGAATTAAATTTGTTATAAACATATATTTTTAGCACATTAAATAAATATGTCTAATGGTAAGTGTGCCACCGGTGGTACACGTGGCACGGAACGTGTTAACAAATCAAATACTACCAATTAAAAAATCAGTTTTTAAATGTTCAAATTTAAAACAAAATAAGATGAAAAATGAACAGTGTGATTTTAGCGGGAAGATTTGAACGTTTAAAATAGGACAAAGTTGGTTGATAAAAGAAAAGTTAAAAGTACCCTTTTCGCTTCTCGATGAACATAAAAGCAAAATTGTTCGCATGCTCGTCAGGTTCACAAAGATATTACCATCGTGACTAGTTTATGACTCTTAAACGACTCAACTTACCGGTCAGCAACTTTATCATAAAATTCCTATCACCTATATAGACACACCATAGCATACAAGCGTTGATGGAACACCATAATGTCTATAAATCTTTCTTTTCTTTGTCCATTTTTTTTCTTTTTTTTTTTGTGGATGGCCCATTCATTTTCTTCATATTGTTTTATTCTGTTTTTATTATTATTATTATTATTATTATTATTATTATTATTATTATTATTATTATTAATAGTAATATTAGCAGTTATTATAATTAAATTTTCATATTCTTGAAGTGAAAACTTCTTTAGAATGGGTGGGATTTGAAAAAATGAAACGGAATAATATAGTGGAAAAACGAGACGACCTTAATACTATATAAGAAGAGAAAAAGATACAAACATATGATTATTTATAAGTAATCATTATTTATAAAAATATTTGATTTGCAAACATTTTTTAAATTGTTTTATTATTTACTTTCTTTGAAATTATTATAAAAATGCGCGCCTGTATGAATGCAATCCTCCAGACACACTTTGAAAATGTTGCTTGCTAGCGTCATCTGTCGGGACGGAATTTTTTTCTGCCCGAAATGTAGGCAACCCGTTATACATACGTGTATAAACAGTTTTGACTGCAAAAAAATTCCGTTCTAGTAGATAGCGCTTGCAAGCAACATTTTCAAAGTGTGTCTTAAGGGTTGCATACGAACAGGCGCGAATTTTTATAATTAAATAAATAATTACAAATTAAAAGTACAAATAATATTATAATAATCTTATATAATAAATTATCCTCGAAACTTGTTTATTTGAAGGTTTCACTTCTAACTTGCGTAATATGCACACATGTTTTTTTTTTTTATTATACTTTTCTACGAATATTTTTGTAATCTTTTGTTTTAATTTCGTTATGAATTTTAATTTTCTTCACATTGTTTCAATCTGCTTTTATTATTATTATTAGTATTATTATTAATACTAACATTAGCAATTATTATAATTAAATTTTCATAATTTTTTTTCTTATACTCTTCTATGAATATTTTTCCTATCTTTCGTTGTAATTTCGTTTTAAAACAAATTTTTCTTTTTTCTTTCTTTTAATAGTTTCCTATTTTTTCCTTTTTCCTTTTTCCTAACAACGATGAAAAATATTTATTTATGCATTCAATTCTTTCTAACTTTCTCAACGTAGCGTTTTTTTTTTCTTTCTTGCCATGGCTAGTTCGCGTAACGCATTTAGGTGACACGTAATTAACTTATCGCGATTTCATTAACGCCAGAGATTATCGGCTAACTTGAAGACAACACGTGGGATGTTTTAATCGAGCGAATAATTTCAACGTTCCATCATCGGTCGACCATATTCTCACTTTAAACGCACGAATATTATTACTTCGTAATCATTTTTGTCCACCTAAACTAAATGAAACGTGAAAATATAATATGTGACAAGAGGTGTTAACTTTTGTCACGAGACAAAAATTTCAAGATAAGATATATAATCGTAGGATGTGTATATAAATCTTGATTGAAATTTTAATTAAATATCAAACGTAACAAAATTATCATAGTATTAATTATTTCGAATAAGAACGTAGCAAACTACTTATTGAAGAAATACTTCATTGAAAATTCGAAGAAATATTATTTCATTTGAAATTGTTCCGAACATAGAACCGTATCGTTAAATGTGTTTAATTAATACATCAAATTTAATTATTTGACCTTATTCTAGTTCCAAGAAATTATCTCACATTTTATTAAAATTAAATTCAATTAAATTATTATCATTTTTTATATATATAAATAAAAATTTAAATTTAATAATATTATAAAAGAATTAAATATTTTAATATATATATAATATATATATTAAAAATTATATATTTATAATATTTAAATATATATAACTAAATACCTAATACCTAAATACCTAAATGTATTATTAAAAAATATTAAAATATATATATTAATATTTTATATATTTTATATTATATATTTAATAAATATAAAAAAAAATTAAACTAAGGTAAAATAAAAAGAAAAGAAAATAAGAATAAAAAAATTGTTGTAAAGAACATTGACTTTTTGCCCCTGTGGATAGGCAACACCTTCTTACATACCTATAAACTGTGTTGCATATATGCAGGAGTTTAAAAATTCAATATATGTACACATATATAATATAATTGCATTGATTAAATAATTGAACGTTTCAAATTGCATATTGTATAAGAAATACTTATTAATTAATAAGGTAATAATTACTTACTAATTAATAAGTTATAAATTAATATTACTAATAACCAACAATAAATGATGAATTTCATAAGCTCTATTTAACAGAATCACGCACAATGACAGCCTTTACAAAGCAAAACGTGATTCTACCTCTAATCCGACAAAACGATGGATTTCCATGAGTTAGAGAGAAACTAGTTACAAACTACGTTATGTCTAAGAAACCTCACTTGTGATCACATTCGTAGTCCAACAATCTAAATTGAAATACAATTTCTTTGTAAATTCTAACTTCTTGTTTGAATTATTTTAATCTTCAAATACAAATCATTGCTAAATCATAAAAAATAAATATTTAATATAAAAACAATTTGATTTATCGATAAAAACTTATTACAAAAATACAATAGAAAATTATTTTCTAAATTAATTATTAATAAAAGAAATAAAAATACCGAAATAAAATCATTTTATTTCAATCTTCATTTAATTATTATTACAATAATATTTCCTATGCGTGTTAAATTTAATCAATAATATGTCGAATTAAATATCAAATAAAATTCTATATTACCATATTTAATTTTGTTTCGTATTTGTTAGAATAATATTTAATGTTAAACTGAAATGTATAATTTCTCAATCTTATGTATAAAATATATGATCGAATTATCTCTCCAGTGAGATTACTCATGAAATTTCTGATATTCAAGATATGGATATACGTACAAATAATCACCATTTTAATCGTTCAAATCAAATAACAATTTATCCGCGAAATACCGAAACTTCGAATAACCAGAGAATATATTCTTCTTTAATCAATAAATAATTCAAATATAACAATAACATCATCGTTACAATGAATAAAATCAATTTAACGAACGAATTGTTATTTCAATCGATTTTTTATTTAAATTATATTTGCTATATATATATATAATAATATATCTGTAAATATTATTTCTATTCACATTAAATTTTATATCATCCATTTTAAATAAATATATATATATTAAATGAGATTAAATTAATGCAAAAGTATGGTCTTATTTCTAATGAGAGAATCCATTCATTTATTATTTAGCGATTATATCCTTAACCGACTTTAACAATCTTACAGTTTAATGATCAGTTTCGTAGGATTACAGAAAACGATCTATCCTTTTAAAAGGATATAACACAAAGATCTCTTTGAACGTTTAACTTTTACGAGGAAAAAGAAGAAGAAGGAAAAAAAAGATTAAAAAGAAATAAAATTAAAATAAAATAAAGAAAAAAAACCGAACTAAATATTTTAATTGAAAGGACATTTGCGAATATATGTAATATATTATAATATAATATTAATAATTATAAATATTAATAAATTGAAATATTAATAAAAAAATTTAAATATTAATAAAAATGTAATAATTGCCAATCGATTTTCATCTATATTTATATTTTATGTATTGTATTCATTTTCACAGATACAACGTAATCTTTATGATACTAACATATTTTCTACCAATCGGCTCGATGACCTTTACTTATGCAAGAGTTGGTGCAGAATTATGGGGTTCGCAAAGCATTGGTGAAGCTACTGCAAGACAATTGGAAAATATTCGAAGTAAACGAAGGGTACGTACAGAAAAAACAATTAATTATTAATTCTAAATAAATAAATAAATAAATAAATGAAATAAAACACTAATACGTAAAAGATATATGACATAGAGACTACTATATATGATTACTAATCATATCATTAATCAATATCATATATATAAAATAAACCAAGTAATTATATGATTATTAATTCAATCAAAAAAAAATAAAAATATATATAATAAAATATATAATAAAATATAATATATATAAATAATAAATATATATAATAATATATATAATAAAAATTTGTATAAAGAAAAAAAAATAAATATTTCAAATTTGGATAGAATTTAGGATAGATTGTTAATAGATAATAAACTAATATGGATTTTAAATGAAATTGAATAAGTAAACAAAGACAAAAAATTAATTAATCTAATTCTAAATAAATAAATGAAATAAAACATTAATACATAAAAGATATATTACATAGGTACTACTGTATATGATTGCTAATCATATGATTAATCAATATCATGCATAAAAGAAATTAAAGCAATCATATGATTACAATTTAATAAAACTTAAAAATAAAATGAACTTGTAATTCCTATCAAGGAAAAAAGATAAATAAATATTGAAAATTTCGATAGAATTTAGGACACATTGTTCTAGATAGTGAACTGGTATCGATTTTAAAGAATATCGAATAAACGGGGTTTAAAGGAGACGGGGAAAGGAGGGATATAGGTTTTAGTAGGTATTGAAAATATATGAGGAATATCTCGTGTGGGTAGGATGGTATCCTCTACCTTTTATCGAACATTCTAACTATGATAGTCGATCGACGACGTGTCCAAGTGAATATCACTTTAATTAGAATGAAACGAGCCACAAATCGACAAGGGGAAAGAAAAAAAAAAGGGAAGAGACGAGAGAACTGAAGAAAAAGAGAAAGGGAAGAAATGAAACGGAAATGAAATGATAAAAAGAGAGAGAGAGAGAAAGAGAAAGGGAGATACAGTGAAGGAAATAAAAAAAGGAAAGTTGAGTAATCGTTGACCGCCCTTCGACATTTTGTAGCCCTCCAAAGTATATCGTACCCTCTAGAAGAGAAACTGTATAAAAGTGCTCGATTAATTAACCTTATGCAACTTCCACCCACTCATACACAACATACACACACATTGCAGCAAACACCGAACGCACGAGGCAACGTACGTTGTAAAAGGCACCACGTTAAAAAATGCCCAAGAGCATCATCAATAGTTAACAAGGATACATATATTCTAGTTCGTTTGCAAAAACCTTCTTTTATTACCATCCTACAAAAATTATTTCCTTCCTTTAACATTTTTTATTTGTTTTTTTTTTTCTTTTCTTATCATCTTGACTGCTCCATTTAATTCGGTTTTGTTTGTTTTTTTATTTCCTATTTTATTACTCGTAAAATCATTCGATTGCTACTGTGATTATTAAAAGTAATTTGTATTTTGATAAATAAAAAAAGAAAGGATTGATTACATATTAAATCAATAAAAAGAAATTAATTAATTAATTAAATTATTATAATATATTATATATTTATTTAATATATTTAATTAAATAATATAATTAATAAAATAATAAATAAAAATACTATAATAATAAAAAATAAAATAAAATTAAATAGATTAATAATATAATTAATAAAATAATTAATAAAAATAATACAATAATAATAAAAAATAAAATAATTAAAAAATATAAATAATATATTTAATATATTTAATTAAATATATTTATTTAATATTATTATTATATAATATTAATAATTCAAATATTAATAATATTCGATTTGTATAATTGACGATTTCTTATTTCTAACTCTAAGGGAATATATTTAAAATATTTCTCAGTAAGTGATTTATAATTTATAATTTATAAAAAGATTATATATTTTCTTTTTATCTTTCTTTCTTTTTAATTTTCTTTAATATTCTAGTTGTTTGTAGAAAAATTTCTTAAGCGAAAGAATTAGTAATATTTTCCAGCATTTTCTTCTTCTTCTTCTTTTTTTTATTCTTCTTTTTTTTATTTCAAGGATCGTATCAGTTAATTCACAATAAAATGAAATTTCTCGGTTAAGATCAAGTCTTTTAGCATTTGTAAAAAAAAAAAAAGGGAAAAGCCAACGCCAAGCAATCAATGTCATGATTAAAAGGCTTTTATCAGTCAATGGGTAACCGATCAAGTTCAGTTCATTGAATGAATTCATTTTCTAAAGACAAAGAGAAAAAGAAAGATAGAAAAAAATAGAGAAAGAGAAATAAATTCTAGGATTCTAAATTCTAGAAACTCATTCTAGAAAATATTTTCTACTTTCGATACTTTGTGTTTCATTCTGTCGATAGAAAATTATATTTAATTTTGCTGTCAACAAACAAAAAACTTGTTTCGTATGACATATGAATAATAATATAATATAATAATAATTATTATTCATCAATAATTAATTATTTAATAAATAATTATGTTAATTTATAAGTGTATTTAAATTTTTGTTGTCCCTAGGCATTACTTCATACATCATTAAAAATATCGATCACTAACGTCATCTATCGATAAACAATTTTCTTTACCCCTTCGAGTATGCAACCCATTCTTACACGTATGTCAGAAGGGGTTGCCTATATACAGGAGACCAGAAATAAAATGATTGCATTTTTAATAATTATAAAAACACATAAACATAATAAAAAAAAAATTAATATTTTAAACGGGCAACAATCTTTCCTTCAATAATTTTTCTTACTTAAAATTCCAGAGTTGAATACACGCGTAATTTCGCATCGTTTGTTTTGCCCAATTAATTTTCCATACCCCGAGAATGCATGCCATGCCATGCATGCATGCTTGTAATTTATTGCAATGCCAATTATATTGTTTGCACAATGGACAACATACCAAACAGTTATAACTATGCTATATACCAAGTTATAATAAATTCTAAAGACAAAATGCAAATATCGACACTAACGATCATATTAATCATTATTATGTAGCGTGATCGTCAAATTTGTAAACTATGAAGAGAAAATTCTATTATGTTTAATATTTTCATCACGCGAATTGCATATAATATATTATATTAAAAATAACTAAAAATAAACAATAATACAAAATAGGATAATAACATAATAGAGATGAAAATTACTATACTAAATATAGTATTATATTATATATTATATAATACTTAATATATATATAATTATAGTAATATATATATAAATTAAACCTAATAATATTACTATTAAGTATTATTATAAATAATATTAATATTTTTAAGTTATATATATATAGTATTATATATATTATATAATACCTAATGCTAATAGTATATATATATATATACTATTATATTACTCTATAATAGTATATAATTAGTATAATACTATATATATATGATTTAGTATAATATATAATACTATCATATATACTAAAGATAATATATAATATAATAATTTAATAACAATAATACCAATGAATTATAATAATAGAAATAATAATAATAATAATAATAATAAAGAAAAATAAATCATAGTAATAAACTAATAATAATAATAAAAAAAAAATACTAAATAAATGATAGGAAATTTTATTTTGTTTTTTAAAAAAACATTTTGTAGATAAAAGTCTAAATGCATCAGACACCAACACACACACTCAAATAGGTAAAAAGGTTTGTTGAAAGTGTAGCAGTTAGGTTTACAACGTATTGTTATCGGCGATTTGCATAATAGGAGGTGGTATAAGAGCTATCGCAGTACAATCACCATAGGCATTAAATATAGTAAGTGCAAGCAACCTTTACAGGATTTTCCTAGCGCTTTTGTAATATCTATCTCGACGTTCATCTAAGTTTATCGTTGATGCTTGAAAGCAAACGCGTAAAGGAGATCTAATTATAATTGAGTACCTAAATTTAGTATGTATACGTTTTTCAAAGTATCACGATTTATTTCCATTTTAATTATTAATGATTTTACAAAACGTATCAGACAAATTTTTAAAGCAAAATTATGAAAAACTATTACATTTATAAGTTATTTAAAAAATTATATATAATAAAAATTAAAATTATTAAAATTTAGAATGCATCTCAAGATTTGTTTCTATTTAATATTAACGATTTTACAAATTTATTTATTATGCAGACAAATTTCAAAAACATAATTATGAAAAACTATTTAGATTAAAAATAATAAAAATTAATATATATAAATTTGATTGTAGTTAAGAAATGAAATTTATTACAATCTAGAAAGCATCACGATTTGTTTCCATTTAATATTAACGATTTTACAAATTTATTTATTATGCAGACAAATTTCAAAAACATAATTATGAACAACCATTTAAATTAAAAATAATAAAAACTAATATATATAATTTTTATTATAGTTAAGCAATTAATTAATTAATTTATTAAGATCTGCAAAGTATCTCTTTTGATTTATTTTAAATTAATTTCAACAATTTCAAGAAGAATAGTATAACAAAATATTTGTTGTATGTTTCAAAAATTTCCAAAATTTTTGCTTTTTTTTCATTAAACGTAAATGTAAAATTAAGTTGTATTTTTTTCGTGAAATTATGATAAACATGCATTACGTTTTTAAGATGAACATCTGGCGAGACAAGGGTGTGTATAACGAAACACGTTGGTCGCAGGTGCCTAACACAAAGAATACTTCTTTCATGTCGCAACCATATGCCGACCTTATTCGGTACTAGGAAAAATAATACGGAATTTTTGCGACAACTTCATAATCTATAGAAGAATGGAAAATAATCGAAAACATATATATATACATATATATAATGACACTGAATTTTTATATATAAAGATATATATATATATATACGACAATCAAAAATATAGAGTGCCATTTAAAATAATAAAAGAAATACCCTTAAAAAACATTTAAAAAAAAAAAAAATTTACAAACTTTTTTTTATTGCAATGTATAGTCAATCAAAAGAATAAATAATAAAAATTTAGACAACATATGATAAAAAAAGTACACAGACAATAAACACACTTTTTTCTGTACGGTTTATAAAAAAAATAAAGAGAAAGAGAGAGAGAGAGAGAGAAAAAGTGAGTGTTTCGTGAGTTCATCGTCGAATTTAATTTCCAGAGATGCTATGAATTTCTAAGAAGAAAGACACGTCCTCTCTTTTTCTCATCATCTTTTTATCCTTCGTTTTTGTCTTCTTCTTTTTCTTCTTCTTCCACTATGTTTAGCAAAAAAGAATCATTGAGAAAAGACTCGTAGTTTTCTGCTATAAAAGTGGACATCATAAAACAAAAAACATCAAACAAAAAAATAAAGAGAAAGAAATAGAAATGTTATTTTGTGGTGGATCTGTTACATCAAAAGAGAAGAAATTAGATAGATCAATTTATCTTCTTTTCCTTCTTTACTCCGCCACCAAAAAAAAAAAATGATTCATTACAAGTTTAGGAGACAAAATAATATACAATTTTTTTTATTTTACTTCAAAAAAAAAAAAAAAGAATCATGCCAATAAATTGATCTATTAAAATTTATACAATTCTATTTTTACATTTGGATAGAATATTAATATGTTTTTATATTCAATATAAAATAAAAATTAATATATATATATTATATATATAATTTTATAATTTTATAATTATATTAATAACTATAATTTTTATTATAGTTAAGCAATTAAATAATAAATTTATTAAGATATTCAAAGTATCTCTTTTGATTTATTTGAAATTAATTTCAACAATTTCAAAAAGGATAGTATAAAAAAGAAATTTTTTGGTAGGTTTCAAAACTTTCCATTATATTAATAATATATAATAATTTTATAATAGATTAGTATTTTATACTAGATTAATATTATTATTATTAATATAATAATAATATAATATATAAATAAAAATTAGTCAATATTTGATATACTAATATTTTATTATAATTATGGAATATTTATTTTACCCCTACAGATAAACAATCTCCCATTATACGTATGTATGAACATCTATACCCTAAAGAATAAAAAGAAAAAAAGTTGCTTATTGATAAATAATGTTAGCAATCATTATTTTAAACGGTGTATAGAGTGATGCCTATCTCTAGGGGTAACCAATTTAAATACAAACATACACAATTTGATCAAATATTGACCGATTATAAATAAAAACAAAAATTTCTCAACGAGTTAAAGGTAACGAACAAAAAAATGTGAGAAAGAAATAAGAGTAAGAAAAAGAACAAGAAAAAGAAAAAGACAGAATGATGTAGAAAGTGTGAGAAAGGATAAGACGAAATTGAGTATAACTATATCTAGAAAGGTTCGTACCGTTGTTCAGGTACTACCACCAACCTCTATTGGATTTCGATTAAGCGACAAAGGATCCTACTGTATATACGTGAAACCAGTTTCTCTACTCCGGAACACAACCAACATTCACTAGAATGAACCACAGTTAGACGAAGAGAATGTAACATATATATACGACGTTCACACAGTTATACAAGTTCGATTCCTAAAGGAAAGACAGATTGAACGAGAACTCTATGGTAAGGGTTAAATGGCAGAGCATTATAGAACGTATTTGCTTTGTCGTGGTCGTTAGATAGTATATGAACATATAATCCCGTTTCCGTAAAATCAGTCTAATTTCTAAACATTTCAAATGATAATCAACCAAATTTTAAAATGGTAATAACAATGTTTTATTCTCCCTTTTTCAACCTGACAAACGAAATAAATTATTGGACGAAATATTCTGCTCATGGGATTTGTTTTTGTTTTGTTTTCATTCGCTAGGGCTCATCGATGAATCGTTTTGAAAAAAAAAAGAACAAACATTTCGAGATTTTTTAAGAATTAAAATTTGATTTATTTCTCATCTATCTTTCTCTTATATCCCTCGCCAAGTCATTTGTCAGAATCAGCTAAGAAAAACCTGAACGATTCGAGAAAAAAGAGAGAATTTTTATGGCAAGTTATCTTGAACGATTTTAAACGAGAAATTACCAGCAACTTTTAAAGAAAAATCTAGTACATATTACATTTAGTCCTACAATCCAAGTTCGTTCGCAATCTACTTACTCGACTCTTAAAAGTTGGATCAATGCCAAGATATTAAATTTATCTTGTTCGAAAGATGAAAAATTCTACTTCTACGAAGCTCTTTCAATTTTACAGATAAAGAAATATATATGAGGATTTTATCGTTGAAGTAATAAACAAGAATTGTCGATTGTCCACTTTGTAAATTACTAAATGTCGATTGTAATATTAATAAGAAGAAATGACAAAATTAAATATAAGAAGAATTTAATTTTGTCGATAATATTAGTTTCTATATGTGTATGTCGATAAAACAGTTTTTTGTAGCCCCTGTATGTAGGCTTTTTTGTATTACACGCGCGTACGAATGATTGTCTACTATCAAGGGGTAAAAATTATATATATAAATAATATAATTATATAAATAAATAAATAATAATATAATAATATAAATATAGAATAAAATAAATATATATAACTGTTTTATTGTAAATTATGAAAGATGGTAAAAATCAAACGCATAAATATCAAAAAAAAAAATATATATATATATATTATATATGAAAAAGATAAGAATAAATAGAGTAAAATAATAACTGTAATGTTCCGTTGGAATATTCTCACGTGAGAAAGCAGGAAATATCTGTGCACATTGGGCGTACAACGAGAGTACTTTAAGTTTCTCTAGTGGAGTACCAAAGATAATGGGAGTTTTACTACTGCGATATATACTTCGTGTATACAGAAGTCATCTCTTCGTGTAAAAGTGCGTCTCTGTCTCGACGAATATTCAATGAAAAAATGACAAGATATAAAAACTGTTTCATTAAAATTTCATTCTCTTCTACTACCATTCTTTCTATCTCTAAAAATATAAAATGCATATATAATATATTTAAATTCGGAAGTGATACCAGTGTGTGTTCTATGCATTTTTATGTAAAAAAATTATATTTCTGTATATACATAGTACAATTTTTTTTGCCTTGTAAAATATTTAAAATAAACCTTTTAGTCAAAAAAAAAAAATCTATAACTTTCTAACGTTTGAAAGGAAACAAATGAAAAAAAAGAAATAATCAATCTCATATCTAACAATAAAAAAAAATAAATAATAAAAATAATAATAAAATCGAAATCGAAGTAATAATATAATGTTAAGTACATAATACATTTATTTGAAGATAAAATTTGAATAAAACACATACTGGACATTAAAGAGAGAAATCCTATTTAATTTAAGTTGAGAACATAAACCATTGGTTAAACGTAGAACAAACATAGATTTCGAGATAAATGAGATAAACGAGTTACTTTCAAGATCTATACATATACAAATAAGAGAAGAGATGTTAAGAGGAGGAGGTGGAAGAGATAGAAGAGGTTTAGATGTAATAGTAAACGATGAGGAAGGGAAAATGGAGGATGAAACGGTCTTCGCTCCTAACCACCGACGACAAAATAGTTTTCCCTATGGACGAAAACCACAGGACCGCAAAAGCTATCGGAATACGGCCCAATTTCGACGATTCTCTCTCTCTCTCTCTCTCTCTCTCTCTCTCTATCTATCTATCTCTCTCTCTATCTATCTATCTATCTCTCTCTCTCTATCTATCTATCTCTCTCTCTCTCTCTATCTATCTCTCTCTCTATCTATTACCTATAAAATGTAAAAGTTTAACAATAACATTGAAAGATCGAATTATTTAATTCCAACTAAATTTCAATGATTATAATAATGGTAATGAATAAAGCTGATTTATTGGAAGGGATCATTGTTTTGAAACCTCTTTTTAAATGATATTTTATATAAATCTGTTAATAATAATGTATTATCATTATTTACAATAAAATATCAATATTTAATATTATTCAAATGTGATGGTTAGCATTTAATTAACGAAATATTATAAACCAAATTAATAATAGAGAGTATTATGATAATTAAATGGTAATATTAACGATTGAAATAATAATATCGATTTTTAGTATACATCCAAGAGTATATAATTAAAGACGATTACTTAAAAAAAAAGACGAATTGGTTWAAAAAAAAAAAGTTTCTTTTATATTTAATTATAAATTACAAAAGAGGCAATCGTTTCTACTTTATAAACGTTCCATAAACGACAAAGCACGTACCTACGTAGATATTCTCGTTTAAAACGGAACTTCGTTAATATTCTTGCCTTACCATCCAAGAAATTAGAATTACTTGAAATTCTACAAGAATGAAATGGTTAAGAGAACGTTTATTATTATTTTTATTATTATTTTACGGAAAATCTACAGAAAATTGACGAAATATCACAAAGGAATAATTGCGTTCGATTAAAAGTATAATAAATTGCAAAAGAAATAAAATATTGGAACGAATATTTGTTCCACTTTAGGACAATACTAATCGATTTTTGTTTTTTTTTCTTTTTTTTAACCAGGTCGTGAAGATGATGATCGTAGTGGTGGTAATATTTGCAGTCTGTTGGTTACCACTACACGTATATTTCATTGTAACATCGTACCTGCCAGAAATCACTAAGGAATCCTACATCCAAGAATTATTTCTTGGTATTTACTGGTTAGCCATGTCTAATAGCATGTATAATCCTATCATTTATTGTTGGATGAATTCCAGGTAAACATAAAATATCCATATTACAATATAAATATTAATTTGGAACAAACTTGATTAAAATTTAATATTATACCTTTATTCGTTTAGATTCCGTCGTGGTTTCATACAATTTTTTTCATGGTGTCCATGGGTGCGGGTCACCCCAGAACCATCTTTATCCCGTTCAGAAGCAGTTACATCGCGATACAGTTGCACCGGAAGTCCCGAAGCTAATTCAAGGATACCACGGAACGGTACGTCCTCGTGCACATCCTTGGATCATCCTTGCACGTCAACTTCAACGACACCAAGAAGCGAATCCTATACAGAAACACAAGACGGAATAGATTTATCGTATTCTAAACATTCACAAGAGTCACGAGAATTTTCCATTGATTTGCACAATCTTTCATTTATTTAACAATCAAATGCAATTCGTTAACAAATCAAGATATTAGAATATAATATTTTTAATTGTTATTATTATTTAATGTATTTTATAAGAACTTTCGTTTTTAATATTTCTTATTCTCTTTTAAAAATCAAATATTTTATTATTATTTATCTACGTTAGGAAAATTATATTGTATAATTCATTTTTCTTTGTAAAAATTAAGATCTGCTCACAACGATTAATCGACACTTTATATTTTTTATCTTTTATATATTCTTTCTACATTTTTTCTCTTTCAAGTTACAATTTATATCGAATAGATGATTATATTTAACAAATAAGCAAGAGAGAATGATCATTTAAATTTCATACTTTTATATATATATACATATATATTTAGTTATCTTTTATTACATAAAAGAAAGAAAATGCGTTTGAGATCAAAAGCTGAGTAAAATAGACGATAGAGACGGAAAAGATTCAAATTTCCAATTTTCCTCTTATTTCCCAAGAGAACAATACTCGTGAAATAGAAAATACGTAAGGGAAATACTTTATTTTTTTTCCTGTTTCCCATGAAATATATTACCATATATACGTATAGCTATTATTTATTGGGCCAGTATTTTTTAACATTAGTTTGATCAATATTCTAAATAAATGATCAGTATGAACTCATTATCAATATTTACAAATATTTATGTATACAGGGTGGGTCACCACATTTTACCACCTTGATTTACGTTTTTATTATTACTCATAGCAGACAATGTTTCACATGGAGTTGAATGGCTTTAAAAGGGGCTCATACTGATTGTACTTTTTTTTTTTAGGTGGACGTGTCAAGGACATATGAAGGTCATTAATGTTTTTTTAAATGGAATCATATATTTTTTATTGCATCAWTTGATGCTCTTTCATATTATTTACAAAAAAGTATTAACCTATTTATGTAAAAAAATTATTACTTTAGGAGATATTTTAATTTTTGTCTATTTACAAAAAAGATTCAATATGGCGACCATTTGCATCAGAACACTTTCTGAATCGAGAAATTAATGACTCATTAANTGAATCGAGAAATTAATGACTCATTAACGTTTCTTAATGTATCTTATGTTATTTCCTTGCATTCATTGACGATACGATCCCTTATATTGGCCATTGTAGTCGGAGGCTCAGCGTTAACTTTATTTTTTAAGAAGCCCCATAAGAAAAAGTCGAGTGGCGTTAGATCTGGTGACCTAGCCGGAAAATGAAAAAGTTGTCTCTTTGAGTGAGAGCCCAATTACAAAATTCTAAACGTTTATAACAGTCATTTGCGGTCAGTTCTTGAACCTTTGATACATGATATGAATGGTATTTGTGCTTTCTCAGTATGCGTAAAATGCTTTTGCGGCTAATTCCAGCTTGTCTTTCGATTTCGCGAGAGCTAACGGATAGATTTATCGTAACTGCGGCTAACACTTCCCAAATCGTTGGATAGAACGGGGTGGGCCCATTCATTTTCCATTAAGAAACGTTAATGAGTCATTAATTTCTCGATTCAGAAAGTGTTCTGATGTAAATGGTCGCCATATTGAATCTTTTTTGTAAATAGACAAAAATTAAAATATCTCCTAAAGTAATAATTTTTTTACATAAATAGGTTAATACTTTTTTGTAAATAATATGAAAGAGCATCAATTGATGCAATAAAAAATATATGATTCCATTTAAAAAAACATTAATGACCTTCATATGTCCTTGACACGTCCACCTAAAAAAAAAAAGTACAATCAGTATGAGCCCCTTTTAAAGCCATTCAACTCCATGTGAAACATTGTCTGCTATGCGTAATAATAAAAACGTAAATCAAGGTGGTAAAATGTGGTGACCCACCCTGTATATACTGACTATCTATATAATTTTAAATAATAATTCAATTTGTTTCTAATCATTAGAACAAATAAAATTATAAACCCTTTCGCTACTGCATACTTTCACTCCAAATAAATTCGCTCGTACTTATCATCCCTATTTGAATTATAGGAGGCCTTTTACAGCGAACGACCCCCATATATGTGTTGCTGGAAACAAAAGAATTAAATATTAAATTAAAAATGTTTAAAAATACCGACCAAATAAATATACAATGTATACACATATAAATTTTGATTTGCATTATATTTTCAACGAAACAAAAAAAGACACAAAAATTATAATTTCTTTCTATTAAACAATATCATAAGAAAGTACAAAATAGACAAAAGAAAAACTTGAGTATATCGTTTAACAGGCACGGTTAGAATACCGCTGCATCTACAATCGAGAGGAGAAGGAAATGAACGATTTTTGGAACATCAAATTCGTGGAAGAAGATGGAGAAATACTCAAGAAAGGGGACACGTTTCCTGACAAGACGAGGAGATGATTACTAATACTTCAAATCCTTTGCAACAACAGCAGCAGCAACAAAAACAACAACAACAACAACAACGAGTGCATACTTGGATATGAAGGGATTTATATTCAAAAAATAATATATTATGGCACGCATAACTTTCTAATCCGGTTCTACGTTATGGCTGAAAACCAAACGTAAATTTGTGAACAAATCTTAATCTTATCTTCTTCTTATCATCCATTATTGGAATGCTATCTTCTTCCTATCCATGATATTATTATTTTTATTTTAAGACTACTTATGGTCAAAACAACGAGTTTATTCTATGTCACAATTAACACATTTCCAATTGCAATCCTTTATTTTAATTAATTAATGTTGTTATGCCATCGTCTCGTCAATCCAATGCTTGTCGATCATGCTTGAGAATAAAAAAGAATTTAAACAAATAAAAATATATAAGATAAATGGACCAATACATTTACTATACTTTCCGTAAAATGAAAGAAATAAAAAATCTTTTTCTAAGATGAAAATTAAAAAAGAAAAAAGAAAAAAAATGCATACACACACACACACACACACACACACACACACATACGTACGTACTTACATATGTACATACAATCGACGTTAGTTGAGAGGATATGTGAGAATATTTGTTGTAGCTTTATCTATTTAATCTGTTAGAGTGATGAAAGAAAATGTTTCATTATGTACCTAATCTACTCGTTCCTACCGTACATGCATACATTAAATACATACATATAAATACATTCATACATATATTCTAATAGCCAAACTTATGTTGACAAATGTATATTTGTAATCAAGCCAGACGTAATTCTCTTAACGAGAACATCCATTATTAAACAATAAATCACTAATTTATTTTTTGCTATCGATAAGATAAATTATTTTCGAAACAAATTATTAGCTATTAAGTTCAATGACGAAATTCTTTTCCTTTTTTTTTATATAAATCCTTGATTATTATCCTGACATTAAATAAAATATAAAAGGGGTTCATATATATATATATCTTCTTACTTTTCTATATTTCATGCATAAAAAATAAAATACTAAATTTAAAATAGAAAATATCGATAGGAAAATAAAATATTGAATGAAATTTAAGTTTGATATTTGTTTAAAAAAAAATAAATTTATAATTTTTATCTTATTGTTAGTCGAAAAGTATTTAAAGTTATCGATACTAGTTACGCACGAGAAATCAAACAAATGTAATTAAGACTCTTATAATTATAGTTATAATAACGTCAAATTAAAATAATCGAAATAAAACACACGGACATAACAATTATTAAAGAAATATACTCGAAAATGAAGCTTTATTTATAGAAGCAAAGAAACAAACATTAAATAAAATAAAAAACATTCAATTATTATAATAGAGCAAAAAAAAAAATACTCTGGGAAAACCAAACGCTTTTTAAACATTACGAATTGTACATAGTTAATATTATTAATTATTAATCATTGTAATTAAATTATGTAAGAAACAAAAATCGAAATGGAGAATAATTAAATGAACAAATTATAAAATAAAATGACATTTATTTCAAATATCGCGAGAAAACAAATATACGACATTGTTTTTAATATATTTTTATTAGTTTTGTTCTTCGACGAGTATCGATACAAGCAAATTAAATCAAAAGAATAGAAAAAAAGAAAGAAAGGACTTAGAAGAAAAAATCATTTTTAAAATTAAAATACTTTACGTGATGGACCATGAATCTTTCTTCGATAAAGAAACAAAATGGTACACGATAAGAAAAATTTTCAAAATTTCATCTCTTTCTACCTCTTATTATTAATTCATTTTTACAATTTTCCATTGTATAATTAAATAATAAAAAATATAAGAGAAGGAAGAGATGCAAAAAATAGTATAGACGTACATCATTAATTAATTTCATATAATAAATATAACGATTGCACGATATCTTTAAACAAATACTATTTATATGTAATATTACATTGTGCACATTGTATGCATTGCTGGTGTTGTAACGAAATAAGAGATCTCCTGAGAAGATGATTACAACAACAACAAGAATAACAAAATAAGATATATGAAATTTAACGTGACATTCAAATAAATTATTAGATTTAATAATCACTTCTCTCTCCCACTCTCTCTCTCTCTCTCTCTCTCTTTCTTTCTTTCTTTCTCTCTCTCTCTCTCTTTCTCTCCTAGGATCTGTGATTCTAGAAGATACATTTAATAAAAGATAAAAAATAAGAAACGATGTCAAGAATATTACATTGATACCATAAATGTGTCCAATGATAAAGCAATGCAGAATATAATTGTATACGCATTGTTATATTATACATACATATGTATGTATATATATGTATATATACATATAAATATAATGTTATGTATTCTGCTATTGATTGTATCCTGGAAGATGCATTAATAAAAGTTCCATATTTTTTAAATCGCTATTATATGAATTATAAATCTTCTACTTACGTACATATTTCCCTATTGATTTTTTCTAAACTTTCCTTAGAATTTTACGAATCGAATCGTATCTCTATGAGTCCTTTATGCCTATTAATGTCGTCCCAATAACAGCAAGAAAACGTTGCTTTATTCATTTTATCAGTGTATATTATTCCCTAAAAAATAATTAAATTAAACCATTATTGTTTTTATTAAAACCCTTAACTGATTATTAATAAGTAAATCATAATAAAAAAAAATGAATTGATTTAAAAATTTGTTAATAAAGTAAATGTGAAATTTATTTGTATTTCTTTTAAAATGTATTTATATAGATTCTATAAATAAATATTAAATATATATGATAAATGAAATAAAGAAATAATTAAAATCCTTACATTTAAATGGTCCATTTCATGTTGAACGATTCTCGCAGTCCAACCTTTGAACCTTACAGTAAATTGTTCTTTCAACTCATTAAGAGCCGTAATTTCAACTTCTCTTGCTCTGGGTACTTCTGCAGTGTAACCTCGAACACTAGCACATAGTTCGGGAAAGGTAATTAATTTATGATCAATAATTCGAATTTTAGGATTAATAAATACTTGTAATGGTACTATTTCCATTTCACGAATTTTACTTATTTCTTCACCAACTTCTTTTAAATATTGTTCGTTAACATGTATCATAAAAACTTTCCATGGTAAACCAATTTGACAGGCGGATAATCCAACAGTATTATAAAGTTTCATAACTCTTTTCATTTGTTCTAATGCCTGTTAAGAAATATTATTTTATATTAATAATTCGTTTTAATTATAAATTATAAGATAAAGTATTAAATAATATATAATTATAAATAAAAGTTTAAATGAATATAGAAAAAAATGAACTTTTCTATTAAATTATTTTATTAATTAAATAATAAATATAAAAAGGGAAAAAAGAGAAACTCACAAGTTTAAATTGAAACTTGTCGATAACTTCGGGATTTACCGGCAAAGTTGGGGCGCGTAAAACAGGGTCGCCAATTTGAGTAACATGAAAATAAGGAGGTTTACTTTCCGTCTGATAAACATATTTTCTGAATGCACGCCTTATTCTTCTCAGATAACCAAACGATCGCATATTATTTTTCCAAGATGGAAAAATCGTACCAATTCTTTTAGCAGGAACAACAATATTGAACATTGTTTTTAATATTTATTAATAATAAATTTATCTAACTATAATTTAGGTTACGTACTGTGCACTGCACGATGAGACTAATTTTAAGTTTGCCCTCCTGTTCTACTACTAGCGCCATCTACTTCAAGGCGCTAAAATTTGAATGTTCAAAACAATGTAAATTAGGATAAAAAAATACTTCTCCAAATTTTGGTGTATTAATAGTATATTACTCACCTAGGGAGGTAAAGTAAGAAATGTCTCAGAGTACATGTAATATTACATGTAAATAATAAAAAATCAATTACATGTACTCTGAGGCTTTCTTATTTACTGCCCATGGTGAGTATACATTTTTTCTGCTCGACGTAGGCGGAAAGCGGCAACTTCGTTTTGAACAGCGGGAGAAAAGTTGGCGCTTTTCGCCCGGAGGGAAGAAAATAAGTTTTTTGTTCTTCTTCTTCTTCATTTTAAAATGTGTAAAGTTTTTTGTCTGAATTTATTTACTTCCTAAATCCAATAGCAATGGTTAAAAATGAATAAAAATGTTCTATAATGTTGCGATTAAATATTGCACGGGTATAAAATATTTTATGGAGATAAATACCATCAATGAAATCAACCATCACAATCGCACGACCTATTTAAAATTAAGTAAACAATTCAAAGGAAAATAAGAAGATAAATTAAGTGAATTGATTGTAATGGGGGAACACTTGTAACAATAAAAATTTATTTTAAGCCCTGCATAGTATAATAATCTTTTGCATGCAGAATTTAATTCTTTATTAGAATCCAGTAAGAAAATTAAGCATTTCATTTAAAAATATAACGTTTACCTTGATATTTCACTAAAAAAGTGTCTTAAAAAAAAGTTTCATTTACCATTACATTTGTCCTTTTTCTTTCTGACTTCTACGATGTCAGAAGTGCGAAAAAGTTGCTAAGTTGTCTACTGCAAGAAAAATAGAAGCAATAATGTATATATGTAATATAAAAACATTGTATGCTAAAAATGCACAAATAAAATTCAGTATGTTTGTAAAAAATGTGCTCAATACATATGACCGTCAAATTGACAGGTGTTCGTAAATATAGGTAGATAAAAAAACACTCGTAAATCTAAGATAACTATACAGGATACATTGTTTTATACAATATATATTTTACAAGTTATTTTGAATTTTCATTCTTCCTATGAATTCACATAACATAAAAACGTTCTAAAAACTTTCTAAAACATTTCTTGAAAAGCTTTAAACCTTTCAAAAAGGTTTCTAAAAAATCTTTCTACAAGGTGAAAATGTTCGCGTTCAGAAACTTACAAAAGATTACTCTATCAGTAATTGTTACTCTAAATAATCCGTAAAAATGTTTTTTAAAATATTTTTGTAAAATCTTTTATGAATCTTTTTCAAAATATTTTAGAATGGCGCCTGCAAGGTTTCTGAAAAATTGTTTGGAAATATTTTACGAAACTTTTGCTGAAAGATTTAAAAACTTATCGTGTTATGTGGAAACTCATTTCGTCACTCATCCGGTATAGATTTGCTTCTATCTTTTGTAAAATAATGTCCTACATTTTCTGTAAATATCTTGATTATTTTTTTTTCCCATTGTTAACTCTTTTGTTCTATCCTAAAGTTAACAAAATGTAAATAGAATATCGTTGAGCGAAATTATTAGAGGTACTGAAAAGTAATGACAATTTCTTCGATGAGTACACTCACATTTAGTTTGTGTTAATAAAAAATTAGAAAATGATGACAAAAATTTGGTGTTGTTTAGCATTCAAAATGTCCTTAATAAATAAATGTTTTTCGCCATTGAAGAAAAATTTGGATTACTTTTCGGTCCCCCTAATATTTCCTAAGAAAAGGGGAATTTTCATTTGTATCGTGTTTACTTCTACTTATAGTTTCTTTTGAATTTTGTTGTTCGTTTCTTCTAACTTTCTTTTGTATTATCGCTTTTATGATGTAGATATTTATTTGACATTACCATGCCAGCCGCTACAAATGATATAAGAACAAGGGTCCTATATTCTGTAGATAAGATTATTGTGAATACATTTATACTCGTAAGTATTGAAAAACGGTCATTTAAATTTTTTATTTTTAAAAAATATAATTCTGCATTACTGATAATGAAAACAATTAGCATAATCTACATAAATTACTAAGTTACAAGCTAATAAAATTTGTTTTTATTTTTAAATAATATCTATAAGTTGAGAGTTAACGAAAATAATGAATGTAATAAATCTTGTTGTTTTGTTAGGGTTCTTATAAATTACGAGGTGATAATTTTATTTTTCTGTTTCTCTTTTCTTATTTGAGAATCATTTCATTCATTCTTTTCTAAGAAGTATATTTCTAAGAATATATAAATAATAAATCAGTTTATAATAACCATAAATTAATCGTAATTAAATAATAATTCGGTTTGTTTGGAAATCAAATTACAATTCGTTAATAGGAAATCGTGGAGAGGTGGTAATTGAGAAAGTATAAATTTCAGAATTTCAAAGGCAGAATAAGTTATATAAGTATAAGAATAAGGCAGTTAAGACCGATGAGAGAACAGAAATAAGAAATTTTATTTAAAACGAGTTTCGCCGAATTTATCTCGTACTTCTCATTTCGTGTTTATTTTTCTTCTTATGTGAATATCATTGTAGATTTTTTGTTTATTGTGATATTGTTCCATATATAGGTATCAATAATGTCTGTTATTTTTAAACAGAACAATTTAACAATCATGTTTAAATTTGGATTGTCAAAGAAGTTCGACATTCGAAGACTAATTCATAAAACAAGTTGTAATAAAGGTGATTACTCATAATTAACAGGTATTTAAATTATTTCATTTTTTATCATATATATTACATTCTTTTCAGATTCGAATAATATAAATGTAACAGAAAATCTTGCTAAAGCTAACAGAATATGGGAAACTTGCTTTTGGGGAGGCTGCGAAAATGATATTAAAATAAAAGATGTAAGTTCTCATAAATTACTCATATAATTGATTTTTTTTTTAATGATAAAATATTATCATTTATTATAATAGTATGAAGATACCAGCTTACTCACGTTAGATAGACCAGATTCTTTAAATAGTCTTACACCAGGAATATGCAAAATAATAAATGAAAACCTTCAAAAATGGAAAAGTAGTAAAAAATTAATAATAATAGAAGGATCCGGTGATAAAGCGTTTTGCACCGGTGGGTACCTTAAAATGCCCCATGCATATCGAGGTATACAAACAGAACATTATGAATGGAATAAATTAAAAACATTTCAAGAATATTATTCGTAAGTTTAATAATACTCCAATACCATACATAATCGTAAAGTAAATTGATAAGAATACAAATATCGTTTTGCAGATTAGGTTATAACATCGGTACATTAAAAGTACCATTCGTAGCACTGATGAATAATGTAGTAATGGGATTAGGATCAGCATTATCTCTCCAAGCTAAATATAGAATTGTTACGGAAAGATCAATTTATGCAATGCCAGAAGTTGCAATAGGATATTTTCCTGATGGTACAGCCTGCTACACTTTTCCTAGATTACAAAATCACATAGGTCATCTTCTAGGTATTACTGGATATAAATTAAAAGGTATATACCAATAAAAATGCTTATATTGTTCTGTGAAATATTAATTTCTCTTTTTGCATTAAACAATTAACTTTTAATATTTAATAAATTTTCTTTTAGGTATCGACATCGTTCATTCAGGTATTGCTAGTCATTTTGTTCCTTCAGATAAATTGGAAGATTTGAAATACGAATTGATCAAGTTCAATGGATCCAACATAGAAGAAATTATTAATAAATACCATGTTAATAATTCGAGCAATAATTTTAGCCTCAATCCGTACATAGATATAATTGAAAATTGTTTCTCAGCACCTACCGTTGAAGAAATCTTAGAAAGGTAAGCACAATTTGTCTTTCTTTTTTCTTTTTAAATACAAAATATTTGTTAATTTTATTAATAATATTATTTTCGTTGATTTGTTAAAGATTGAAAAAAGATGATTCAAAATGGTCACAAAAACTAATAAAAATGATTAACTTCGCATCACCAACTTCCTTAAAATTAAGCTTGCTTATTATTCAAAGAGGAAAAGGCTTGGATCTTGCTGATTGTGCAAGAATGGATTTTAGAATGGGTTATCGTTTGCTTTCATATGGTTCTGATATGTTTGAAGGTATATATTTAAATTTGATATAAATTATTATATATTTACTAACATTTATAATATTCTATTCTCATAGGTATTCACACTTTCTTTGGATATAATAAAAAACCACAATGGAATCCACCATGTTTAGAGGATGTAACAATGGATAAAGTAAAAAGTTATTTCGATAATTTACCACCGGAAAAAGAATTAAAATTAAGCAATTCATAAATAACTGAAGCAAAAAGATTAGGCAACTAAATATTAATTTATTTACCTAATATGTTCATTAATTAATAAACCTATTAAATAATTTGAACTTTTACAAGTTAGAATAAAGTATTAGTAATTTAGAATGTCTTCATAAACTTTCAACAAATGATTAATAATTTATTAAAAGATTTGAATAGGAAATGTTTTAGAAAAAAAAAGACAAAAAATTCGCTTATAATATACTTATAGACAGATCTTTTAATTATTTAATTATTTAATCGTAATATTAAGTTTTTTTATCATCAGTCAATTATATTATCCCTCAATTATGTATTATTAACACAACAAGATACTTATTTGCAATTATAATATTACGTTTTCTCATTTGTACTGTGAACATTACTTAAAAAGTATTTATTATTACAATGTCATATTACTTACTTTAACAATAAATAAATATCAAATATATGTATATATGTGATACTTATTTATTGCAATAAAGTAAATTTTGTCGTTATGTAGATTTGTAAAGTTATAATACTTTTATCTCTCAAAAATCAGTTATAAATTGATTTCTATTATAATTATGATGATGATGATAATAATAAATAATAAATAGTTAATATCTAAATATTGACATCAGTACTTTGTATAAATAGCTTCTTTGTTATTTAAATATTAGACACAAACATAAACACAAATCTAATTTATTTTTTCTTTTTCTAAAAATCAAAGTTATGATTTTCGTAAAGATAACATATAGTAATTAATAATCCGATTAATGCTCCGACAAAGTAATTAAGATTTATGGGCAATGCCATTTTTATCCTGAAATGAAATTTAATAAATATATTCTAATGAATGATGTACCGAACAAAATTCTTAAACGTATTTGGTAACACTATAAAAGATATGGGACATATCTATTTCAATAATTAATTAAAAAATTGTTGTTATTTCTTACCAATATTTCTGCAAAAAAAAAGGAAAAGCTGGATCGTTTCCAGGTATTCGACTGTCCATATAAATAATAAACCAACTAACAAAAGTTGTTATAACTCCTAATATTATTCCCAATATCATTATTAGATAACGATGATCGTACGTTTTGTATAGCAGTGTATCGTATAAAACTTGATAGCAATGATAAATTATATTTGCAAATTTTTCACTGATTATCACTATTTGTTGTACAAATTTGTTCTGCGCATTTTCTACATTGACGATAATATTTGACAATGTAAAATAATCATATAAATTTGATGAAATTTTGACATCTGCTTTGTTATTTACATCTGTTGTATTATATACATCTGTTTTGTTATATACATCCGCTTTATTGTATAAATCTGCTTTGTTGTATAAATCATTAGGGTTTCTGGTCACTATTGACAGTACTGAAATAGAAAGAAAATAATCAGTTAAATTCAACCAAAAGGAATATATTTATAAAATATGTAACATGAAAATAATTCATTGCTAATGATGGCGAAAAAATAGAACTCTTTATAACTTTATTAAATAATCATGTATAACTTACCATAACTGAAATATACTTTTTCAATGGTTATGAACAATAATATTAAAAATACAGTTAAACTAAAGATCCATTCTCTGGATAATCTTTTGCTCTGTGTTATTTTAGATTTATTTTTGTTGACATCATTTTCAAATTTGTTAACACTATTTGTTTTGGCATTAGTATTTCTATACAGTATATCCATAATTTTGAGATATTTTTAATATTTATATATTTAATTAATTTTGAAATATATTTAATTATTGAAAGAAAAAGGAAAATATGTAAAAAGATTGAACTATTTTCTTAAATAATAAATTACACACAAAGACGTAACCTGTGGATGAAATAAGAATAACAATGATTATGTCACTTTAACCTATTACGCATGCTCGGAAGTACATCATCTTTTTTGACAGGGCCGTATTAGTAAAATGAGGTTTTATATTTTTTTCTAATGAAAATTTTAATCTTAAAATATATTAGTTTTCTTATAGCAATATAAAATAGTGAAAATTAAATGAGTTAATTAAAAAAAAAGAGTACATATTTTATATAACCTTAATCTTTAAAGATTTTATGTAATATTTTTTACATAGAAATAAGAAGAAACGTAAGAAAAAATGTCTTAACATATCAATTAATGTTTATAGACTATAAAACTTAAAACATTATCAAACGCAATTATTATAACAATTATATTAAAGAAAAACAAACTAATATAATAACGTAATAAGCAATTAAAAACGTTTACATCTCTGTTTTTTTCTAGCTTTTTAATAAAAAAAAAGATAAAAGTATAATCAGTATAACGATCGATAATATAGAATAAACATATAAATTATTTGAAATCAAGGCGTTGACGAAAAACAACTTATATTTTTCCTTTAAAAACAAATGAAAGAAGTTAAATAAAGCAGAGATTAGATTTGTATTTGGTATTTAAAAGATTTTGTTGGTTATGTTCATAATTTAGAAGATCGCAATGATTGAAAGTAATGAGTTTTTTTTTTTTAAATTGCTACCAGATCGTGTTATTTAAAGACTAAAAATAATTCTACTGATAACAATTGTTTTATTTGTAAGAATAAATAGAGCGCTTGCTCAAGTATATATCTAATCCTGTCGTTTTTGCAGCTGCGCAGGTGTATCGTCGTCACCTTCTCATTAGCATCTTGACCAAAAAGCCAGTCACGCTAGCAAGAGTATCCAACACGGCTGGTTATTCCTTTTAATCATTATAATTTCTTATATTCTTTATTATTTTCCATTAATCATTCTAATAATTCATTTAAATCTTAATCGATAAATTCGTCCCTAATCGATTATATCGAACAGGACGATGCAATGGGTGAAGGAAGGAGAGAACGTTCAAGTAAAAGGTAATTATTTTCATTATTCAAAATCGATCTAATTAGTTAACCTCCCAATTTGTCATTTATTTCATTTGATAAATCATTACTTTCTATTATCCTTTCTATTATTAATTCAGTTATTTCTATTATCATTTCTTTCATTTCGATTATCTATATCTATTTATAACAAATTAAAGAAAATACGATTTTAAAAAATTGCAAATGTCCAATCAAACGTCGTTTCTTATCGATTTGTTTTAGCGCGAAATTTAAAATTGGCGCCTACCACTAATGCACGTGCTCACGCATAATCCTTAATTCTAATCTAATTTCAATGCACTTAAGTTGCCCCTATTCATATTGAAAATATCGAATAATGAAATACGAAAAGAAAAGGGAAAGAGTATCTCCTGTTAAAAAAGGTGAAAACTATTTTCTAATTGACCTAAATGTGTAAAGAAGATGATCACAAAGCACTAGAGTACAACACTTTGAGATACTATTATCGTGATTTTTTAAGGCGTAAGAATAGGTGAGAAAAGAGCTTGTAATTACATTAAAGAATTTATAGGTTAAGTAAACGAGCCGGATGAACCAAAAAAGGCTAGGCGATGAATAGATCTGAAATTTGAAGTCTGGGTTTAATTTCCTGCCATCGACTAAAGGATTCGAAGAGTATAACTTATCTAATCAGTGTTCAAAGAGGCGAGGGTGGAGTACTTCTTTTGATAGTATCTATGTGCACGTAATATAAGATCAATTTAACCTAATCGATATGCGAAGGCCATACGATAAATCAAAAATTTAGATTTAAAGATAGTGTAAGAAATGTTCTTTATTTATTTTTTTTTTTTATTTGTTAAATGTAATATATCAATGAATTTCATTGTAATACAATATTAATTAATTTCTTTTTTCTTCATTTAAATATAGAGTTGTTTGTTCTGTTAGTTAGAATAAAGCAAACGTTGACAACTTAACGTTCCGATAGATTAGAAAATTTCTGTCTTAAGGACTAAGGTAACATTTTTTTAAGTATGTAATAAATAGTCAGAAAAAAGAGGTGAGTTAGAAGTAAAGGTATAAAAGGATCACGTTTCCTCTAGCCATTTTAGCCCTTCCTATTTGAAGTGATTGCGTGCGAGTATCGTCAACTAAACGCGTCCAGATTGAATCACACACATAGGGAGGAAAATTATTGACCATTAGTTAGGAGGTTCTTACCGGTGCGTAAGCATATACCTTTAGGACATTTGTTTGGCAGCGCATGCAAATCTTTCATGGACGAACGATGAAGAAAAATTTGGGTCACCAGGTCGTCGTGATTCTTGGTGCTACCCCGTTGTCGTCGTCTTCGTCTTCGTCTTCGTCTTCGTCTTCGTCGTCGTCGTCGTCGTCGTCGTCGTCGTCGTCGTAGTTGTTATTGTCGTTATTATCTCAGACACGAAAGGATCACTAAGAACGCACGAGATCTTTGCGATCGCAATTCTACTTGACCGAATGTAATATAAGAATATGCCTTCAGAATTATTTTCTAGATTAACGATTAATCTTTTAATCTGATGATCGTATAATTAGAAAAAACAAAGGGGTAAACGTACAATCATTTTTTTTTAATGATCTTATTTGGTAATTACTATTTTTATTTTTTATAATTCTTTTCTAGTTTCAATTATCAAAGAAAATATTTAAAAGTTACGTGTACAGTAACTTTGTAGGATAAATATATGTTTATTCAACTTTTACTGCGCCGGTCTGAAGAAATATATAGACTATCTGTACATGCATTATTAGGTAGCACTTTTATATGGCTATATGCAAATATCAGTGTACATTGTTTCTAATGTAAGAGAAAACAAGACATGTGGCAAATGAAATCTAACCGGAAAGCTTTCTTTGATTGTTATCTATTGTTTCGAAAAAGTAAGAAGAAGGTTCGTTTGAAATAATCTGAAGGATCTAAATGATGAATATTATAATACACAAGTATGTATTACGATAATTTATCATCGTTAAAAATTCAAGTTCTGACAAATTGATATTTAGAATGAAACATTATAAATAAGACGTGCATTATGTATATATTGAAAAGAATTAAAAGGTCAAAATAATCAATGGAACATTATACTTTGTAATCAATAATCGTTTCTCAATGAATCATTCATTCATTTTCATTCATGTTACTTTTATAAAAGTCAAAACAAGCTTATCAGCTTAATCTGATCAACTAATAATATTCTATATTTAATTAACTTGAATTATAATTAAAGAGCATCATTCATATTTCTCCACGGAAACATACTCATCACATCGATATGAGAAACGTGGCGGTTAACGTGTTAATTAATGGAAAAAAAAAATATGTTCAGCTTTATCTTTTAATTCGTGAATTTAGAAAAAAAATTGGCAGCGGTGGGATTCGAACCCACGCCTCCGAAGAGACTGGTGCCTTAAACCAGCGCCTTAGACCGCTCGGCCACGCTACCTTGAAGGCAAAATTTTAAATGTCCTATAAAAGCAAACCAAGCAAAAATCTAATTGAAATATTTTTATTTAAGTAAATGTTCTATTGAACTTTAACATAATTTCTTATGTTGACTGCTTTTTAAAATTTTGTCCATTAAATATTAAAAAAACATAAAAATGCCACAATGGCATTCAAATGTTTTTTATTTATGTTATGAATATTGAAAAGATTTAAAATAAAAACATACTTTCTAAAACTAAAAAAAAAGCCTTCATAAGAAAAATTATTTTATACAGTCTAATAAACTTTTATTGATATTATTGGATGTTCGTGCGCACTATATGTTATGCTGGCGCGAATCCATTTTAAATTAACGTACAATTTATAAGTTGCAATTATACGCTCGTTTTGTACAGAAATCTCACGACAACAGAGTCTATAATAGACAAATGTGTTACAGACAAAAATGTATAACGGACTGACCCTTACTTTATTTCACATGTTTTTGTATCCAAATTAGTTACACCCCTTTGGAGAGGGAAGAAACTAAACGAACTTATTGGCCAATAGTAAAAGGGTCCACCCATCATGGTCCCCGATGGAAAAGCTTATGTTTTTGGGAAGGATTGTAGTGGAGGTTAATCCTAAGGAATTTTCTTTATGAGTAGTGTTCTTTCTCTCTGTGTTATCTCATATTTACATAAGTATTGTATAACACTCGAAGGACCAGACACTGCACAAAAATATTTTTTCGTCGCACCAATATATTTATATGATCGTTGAGATGGTTTGAGAATTTATGACCCTCCAGAATTTCTTAATCTTTAAGTAAACGATACCTTATACCTATTACCTATCGTATTCTATGATATTTTATTTCATAGGCTTATCGCAGGATTTTGTTCAACAGAAATTGAATATTAAGAAAAATAACAAAATATAAGGTTTATCATCTACAAAGGATTTGATACTGAACATTGGATATTTGATTATATCGCATCAATTTCAAAAACAACAGAACCATACAATAAAAAGCGGCATTATTCAAATTCGAAATGGCAGCATATCTTGAAAAGATTCTAAATAGCTTTCTATAATCCATTACTTGTTTGAAATCGAAACGATCTTAAATAAATAGAGAGAGAGGGAGAGAGAGAGAGAGAGAGAGAGAGCGAAAAAATAGGGAGAGTTTAATCGCGTGTCTATTACGAAAACGACGTTATCGAATCACAATCAATTATCCATTTTGTGGGTCACATTGAATCTCAACGTTGCATGGTTCTTAGTATTCGTTCTAATTAAAAGAGCAATAACCTGAATTATGTAATGTCTACTCTATTTCGTTTAATGAGTTTCCAATTCATTCATAATTCATTTTGACAAAAAGAAAAATTAAAAATAAAATACAAAAATATTGAGAATTTACATGCTTATAATTCATGCAATATAGATATTTATATCTTGTAATAAGAAAAATAAAAATAAAGTAAGACATGAGAGAGAGAGAAGTTAGAATTTAACGTGTGCGAATATTATTATTATTATTATTCATGCGAAATGTTTTTGATACACGATAAACTATAATGTTACATATTTCTATGCATATGTGTTAATATGCATGTATGATTTACTTATGAATGTATACATATATAATGTAATTACGTGTATATATATATATGTGTATATCCTATGATCATCGATATAATTTGCTTTCATGCTGACGAGTCATTAGGAGAGGAGAACGGAATTTATTGTTCAAAACTATTCTTCTTATTTGGTAGATCGATGCGTCGCGTCTGCCCGTTTTGTTGTAACGGCATGTAGGGTACCTTCGTACCACCCTTCTTCCTGTTCTCCGTTCGCCTCCTTCAACCCCTGTGCCACCCACCCTGTTTCTCTAGGGTGTTCCACTCTTTCTCTCTCATTCTATCTCTTACTCTCTCTCTCTCTCTCTCTCTCTTTCTTTCTTCTACCCTAGCAGGTATCAGCTTCACTACCGTTTAAAGATTTCAGTTGCTTCCGAGCATCCACTCGGATCGTGTGTCTAGAAAAACATCTATTTACAACAGTTTTTTATCATTTAGATAACTATTTGTTTTGTTTATAATCATATTTCTTTTTTTACAAATTTTTAAATAAAAAATATAATAAATAATCAATTAAACTGTCTAACGATATTATTTTCTTTTTTTTTTTTCTATGAAGACAAAGATCAAATTACGGAGTCAACAAATCATCATCGGATTCCGAGCTAGCCCAGGATAAGAAAAATAAAGGACGAAAAAGTAAATTAAAAGAACGATGGCCATTCGCGGATGGATTGACGGTAGACGAGCTTGCTCGTTATCGAAGAAGACGGATTGAGGGTCATTCAAAAGATAATGTTGGATCTTATGCAGAATCTGATTACCTTAAAAACGATACTTCAACTGAATATCGTCGAGCTTTCCGTGCAAAAAGTGAAGAACTTCTTAAGGTAAATAATTACAGATATTATTTTTATAACCATTTTAAATGAAGTATTTTTACAATGTTATTAACAATGATTTCTTTTCTTTTTCTTTCTCGAGGAGAATATTTCTCCAGTTAAAAGCAAACGACCATCGAGTTTTATCCGATTGGATGAGGCCTATGACAACGTAGAACCATCGTATAATAAAGATTTTCAAAAATATGAACAATTAGAGCTTCCATCTAAAAACGCAGAACAACATTCATCTTTCGTTCTTGCCGAAGGAGATATCCTTCCAATGGAGACTCAAACGGAACAATCGAAATTTATCGCTCATACGAATATGATCGGTCGACCACCGATCATTAGAAGGTAATTGAATAATCTGATGGATCCTATAAACAATAAATAATGAATACGTTTAATTAAATAAATCTTTAATTAATATAAATCTTTTCAAAATAGAGGTACTAGTTTAAAACGAGAAGGAAATTTCTATACGGATACCGAAATGTATTCAGCTTACGTACCTTATGAGGGCCACCATAGGGCGGAATTAGCCCGAAGGCCAACGTCCTTGAAAATGGAAGGAGAAATGGAAACGATGACTGAGAAGTGTGAGAAGTTCATTCAGTGGTTAAACGTTAGCAGGCCGGAACTTATGCGTGTTCCAACGCAACTTAAACTCGAGGGTGAATTCGAGACTAGCACAGAAAACCATGAAAAGTACGTCCCTTTCGTAGGAGCGAGAAGGCCCGAACTACTTAGGCAAGGTACGAGTTTAAAACTCGAGGGTGCAACCACTTTCGTGGCTGAATATACTGACGTTTTCAAGCAACACGCACTCACTGGTGAGAAAGGATATTGAGAGACTTGGTAGACCTTAAAACCTTTAATTAACACCAATCACACAGGTTTCTATCGCTTTTACGTCTTAGATTTATTGTAGAAAGACAACCACCTGCGAGGAAACCTGAAACGCATTTGAAAACCGGTAATAATTTTTACGATTCAACCGAAAACAAGAATAATTATATCAATCCTCGTGTTAGAGAGGCTCAACTAATGGCAGAATTGGCTAGAGATGTTGAAGAAGAAGAAGAAGAAGAAGAAGAGGAAGAGGAAGAGGAAGAAAAGAAAAGAAAAAGAGAAGAGGAAGAAAAAGAGGAAGCTAAAAAAGACAAAGAGATGCAAATGTTAGTGTCGAAATTAGAAGAATTAAAGAGTCCACCTTTAGAAATTCCGGAATACAAAGATGCCTACAAAGTATCGACATTTTTTAATTATATGTTATAGTTATACTCTTCTTATATTATAATCTTTCGAATAAATATATATAATTATTACTTGTTGTAGGATTTTCCAAGAGAACGGCCAACATTCTCAAAACCCGAAGACGAAATTGGTCGAGCTGACGGTTCGAAAATACTCTCATCTCCAACACGTTCGAAATTTTCAACCAAAATTGATCAGGATCCAGAATACAAATCCAAGTATCTTGATTATCCTAAGGATTCGTTCGTTTATCGAAAACCACCGTTGACATTGAGAACTACTCCTGCTTATTCAGATCGTTTTATCTGCAACAAACATAATTTTTATGAGACCAAACGATACGATTACGAGCCAACTAGCGAAGTAAAATCACAATACGTTCCTTATGGTCACGTTCCACGTGTTAAACCTATGAGAATGCCAGCTAATTTACGATTAGAAGGTAGTATCGATCTTCAACCGGAATATAGAAATGCTTATTGCAGCCAACGTGATTATCGATCTTCCTATGATATGAAGAAACAACAAAATCGTGAAAGAAGTTTGAGTGCATCGAGAAAGAAAGATAATTATTGGATAAACAATAATAATAGTGAAAGATTTGGTTGCGTCAATGCTGCTGAAGATCAGGATGCTTTTCAAGTATTAAAAACTCGAGTACATGAGGACAGCATCATTGGCAAACCGCCACCAAGTAATCGAAGGTAAAATAATAATAAATAAATCTATACAATTAATTATAAATAATTGTATTAATATTGAAAAATGTATTAAGACATTATAGAGGATCGCAGAGTCAAGAACCAATGCAATCAGATGCTGTTGTTGAACGTAATATTATCAGAAATCGATCACCTAGTCCAACTTATCGTCTTCACGTTTGCAACGTCGATGATGAACCTCGAGGTTTTGGTCAACGTAAACGCTCAACGCAAATCGAGTCTTCCGAAAGAACGCATGATCCATTGCCAGATCGTTTTAATAGAAACATTGTTCGTAAATCGTATTCTCCTAGTTTCGGTAAAAACGAAGCTAAAGAAAAACAATTGGATAATGAACAATCTTTCGTCGTTTTGGACAATGTCAACAAGTGTCGTAATAAAAAGGAAACATGTAGAAGAAGATTGGATAAAAATTATAACATAGAAAATAATTTATCGATGTCCAGAGGAAGACCAAAAACACCAACCAATTGGATGCCACCCTGGTACGATAGTACTAATACGATCTAAAAGTCATAATAGATCGTTATAATAGTCACAATTAAAAAAATAAGAAAAGAATATATTGGACAAAGTAATGCAATGCTATCAGTAGAAAATATGATCCTAGAAATAATACTTTAGCTACATGTACTGCCTACAATGGGATATGATTTATTCCTAATATATAATATTCTATGTTCGTGTATACGTAAAAGGCTGAATATCATATCTACAAAATTATATAATAGTAGTCGTCACGAGCATGATATTAAAACGCACAAGATACGTATTGCAATATAAGAAGAAAACAAAATATATATTTAGATAAATTAATAGCGAGAAAAAAAAAACAAAAAGAAAAAATAGTTTATGGTATACGATTTTCGTATGTTAACAAATTGTTAACCGGACATCAGTAGTAATATAAACATGCAATTTGATTATTAAAATAGATGATTATCATGTTGAATTTCATATTATCAATTTTCCAGAAAGTTTAATATTTAAAAATTTATTTTAATTTAATAATAAACATATCAGCTATAAAAAATGTATTGATTTTTATATAATTTATATAATAATAACCGGTTAAAAATATGTTAAAAACGAAGCACGTCCTCCTCTCGCAATTTTGCGATGCGCACTGCGGAAGTCTGCCAATACATACATACATATATATATATATATACCAAAACCTGTCATGTAACTCAGGAATACAATTGAAGCGATGTTAAAAGAACGATAATAAGACGCCGTGCATCTGTAGATCATTCGAAAAGTAATTTCCATAAAAAGTCCCTTTTTATATGATTATTAACAGTCTTTTATATATACATACACACACACATCTCATGTCATATATTTTTTTACTGTTATTAAATGCCAAACATAAAAAAAAGATCCATAATTACTATACTCGATTCTTTTTTTATATAATAAAAACATTTATCTTCGAAAAGTTTCCATTTGATCTATCGATGCACAATAACGCGCGTCTATACTACAAGCAAATATATATATATATAAAATATAAATGCCAATTTTATTATCATCATTATTATTACTACATATATGTATACAAATGCTTTTGTTTAGCTATGTAGTGACAATGTCTGACGATATTATTAAGTGTATAAAATAAGATTATATCAATTGTTGACGCTTATGGCGTAATTGTTATTATCTTTTATCATTTCTGAGAATAAAAAAAGTAATATTAATTTCCACACATGTATTTTTTAAAAGTTTCATAAAAATATTATTTAAAAATAATTTAAAATGAAAATATATATGTAAAAATTTGTCTACAAACTTAAATAAAAAGAATTCAAATTAAATCAAATGTAATTTGATATTTTGGAATTTTGAATATTAAATAATAATCGAATGATCGATTAAATCGATTCTCGAGGAATCGATTAATGCAACCATACTAGAAAGTATATACATGGAGGTTATATATATATATATATATATATATATAAATCTAGGGATGTGAAGTATGCACTATATTTAATCGATTTGACTATATTCGGTAATGTTCGTGAGTGTTCGTGACTGAAACAGTTTCACCAAGTGTCGGTTTATCGTATAGTTTTAGATATTGCGGACTATTTTATATTTTTTACATTAAATTTATAATTATTTAGTGGCTTAAAAAATATCATATTAAATAATAACAATGGATCCAGAATTAGAAGCAATTCGCCAACAACGGTTAGCACAATTGCAATCTCAATACAAGGTAATTTTCCAAGAAATTTATTATCACACATTAAATGTTTCAAAATAAATTGTTAAAATTATGAAAAAGTGTACAAATTAATCTAATTCGATATCTTGTAACATATTGAAATAAAATGATCGGTAAAATTCTACTTAAAAAATGTGACTTTTTAAGGTTAACTTTTAAATATTATTAACCATTTACAAACCATTGTAAACATACATGCGTTAAAAATGTATATAAACAAGAAATAATAATAAGATAATAAAATAAACATAATTATTGAAACAATTATTGAAATAATAAATGTACTTATCTTTTAGGGAGGAAATGTGGAAAATAAGCAAGCGATGGAAGAAAAGAGGCAGCAAATGGAAGATATGCGTAATTCAATTCTTACCCAAGTATTGGATCAGGCAGCTAGAGGAAGATGTAAGAATTTTTTATTTGGAATGATAACTTATAGTTAAAATAAAATAATATAATGGTAGTTATATGATTTATGTGATAACATACCTTGGTTGACAAATTAGTGAACACACTTTGCCTTGGAAAACCAGAAAAAGGAAAAATGGTAGAGGAAATGATTTTGAACATGGCTCAACGTGGACAATTATCTAACAAATTAGGAGAAAAAGAACTAATCAGTCTGTTAGAAAGTATAAATCAACAAACACAAAGAAGAACAGTTGTTAAGGTATGTACTGTTTCTTTTTTCTTAACCCTTTTGCTACAGAGCACTCAAACAGGCGTTGACCGCAGCAAAAGGATTCAACATACGCTTTAAAAAGATTTTCATTGATTCATAATAGTAATAATAATAATAAATTAATAATACAAATCTTTTGTTACAGTTTGATAGACGAAGAGCAGCATTAGATTCTGACGATGATGATTTATAGCCTTCGAGATGATAATATCAATGTTATTTTAAATATTTTTTTGTTTAATTATTAGATAAATGGCATTATATACAGCAAATTATGTATTGATACATCATTGACTTTGACTATTTTCTTTTTAATTTTTATGCTGCGTATAAAAAATGTAGATGATATTATTAATCTATTGTTATTTTATTAATTTTTTTTTTTTTTGTAATTTCAATAAGACAATGAAATTTGATTTGTCTCTTTATAATTTTTGTTTAAGCCATCAAAATATATACATGAAATTATAGTTAATTTTATTCGATGTAGGTAAGTATAATATACACCTAAAATACATATAACGTAATAATTTGTACTTTATGTCTAAAAAATTTTTCTCATAATAATTTTAATCAATTAATATATATATATATATATATATATATATGTATATAAAATGTTTACACACGATTATTTTTAATAGTACCTTAAATGTATGTCAAACAAATTGACATATATAAAAGTCTATCTTTGATTTTAAATGCAGATACATATATATATATAAAGTATAATTTTTTTTCTTATATCTCACACGAATATTTGTTTAAATAAATAAATTAAAAGATATACATAAATCACAGAAATAACTTTTAAAAGACTGAAATGAAAACTTACTTTTTGTATTGTCTTAAGTATATTCTACTTGGCCAAGATGAAGTTGTAATAATGTATATAAGTACTTTTCAATTACAATCATAATTGAAGACGAAGCCACAATGTGTGTGTGTGTGTAAATGCTAAAATATTTTAATAGATCTTCTCTTTTCTTGATTTTTGCCAACCAAAGAGTAATTGGGATGATACCTACATTAATACAAAATTACACATTCAATAACATATCAGAATAATATTATAAATAATGAATGAACGCACAAGCTTATAATCAAATATATTTGATTATACATTACCTATTTAATTTCCAAGATTCTGTAAAACGTTGTATGTATATTTACATAATATAATGTGATGACTTTGTTATTTTATTCATTTATAGGACACACATTTTTGGTAATTCTTAATCTTTTTTCATATGGCTTCCTCCAGCATGTTCTACGATAATAATATTAATTAAATTATAAAAGAACTGTATAAAAATAAAACTTGTTGTGTACAATTTATTTACCTTCCTCTTCATCATCGGCATCTAAAATATCCGGACAACAAATGCCGTAACAAATTAATGAAAGAAAACCAGCTGGCAAGCCAAATAATACCATCGTTAAAATAGGATTACCCATCCACATAGCAGTAAGTGTTGTTTTCAACTCAAACCATGATCTATATATGCGTACTAATAAACTATTTCCGCCATATCGCTAAAAAAATGTTTTGTATAAGTTTGTATCATATAAAAGCAAAAGAAAAAAAGTAGATATAAATTTATATTAGTAATACCGGAGCACTTTCATTACGAATTTGCTCTAGGAACAATTCTATCACATGAGGCGTCAACTTTTCAGTTTCATCCTCTGGAATGTGGTGATGATTTGTAGTAGTGTTAATAACAATTAGGCTTGGCAACGGTAAAACCATCATAGCTATACTGTTGACTAGATCAGGACTAGCTATCCAACCAAATTGAAAATGGCTGTATAATGCATATATAAAAAAAAAAAGAAATGTTAGAATAATTTATGTTGATAATTAAACAATAATTATATAACAATTCTTACATTAAATGATTACATACTCGTGATATTTCTCCCGTTTCCTTTTAATCACAGATTCAACCATGTCTCGAAATTCAATCATACGAGGTGAGACCTCTTCTAATTGATTCTCCTCTACAACTGCTAAAACCAAATTCTTATTTGTCAAGAAAAGTTGATTGATGTTTCCTCTTGTTACTTTTGGAAACGTTGGGAAACGTTCTGCATTGATCCACTTGTATAAAGTTTCGTTTAACTTCTCTATATTGGTCATATTGTGACCTAAAATTAAATATCATATAATATAATTACTTATAATTTTTCAATTAAAAAATAATGTATATATTATTTACCGGTAAAATTATAATGTAAATTTTCTTTATATACAAATAATGCTGGAGTATTTTCAACTGGTGCATGCCTGTTAACGACGTTTGGATGAGATTGATAAAAAAATGCATGAGGTTGGAACACATCTGCAGTCTTGTGATATAACTCCTACAAATATAAATATTAATATAATTTTAAGAGATTAAAATCAATTGAAAACATGAATTAAAAATATCATGTGTGCAGATCACACGTGTTAGAAGTGAAACCTTCTTAAAACCAAGCTTTGAGAGAATGAGTCGAATGCAGAGTATCAGAAGTAAGATAATATTGTACGATTTATTTACTATAAAAAAATATATCACACAAGTTAGAAGTGAAACCTTCAAATAAACAAGTTTTGAGGATAATTTAATATATAATATTGTTATAATATTATTTGTACTTTTAATTTGTAATTATTTATTTAATTATAAAAATTCGCGCCTGTTCGTATGCAACCCTTCAGAAACACATTGAAAATGTTGCTTGCGAGCGCCATCTACTGAGACGGAATTTTTTTGCAGTCAAAACTGTTTATATACGTATGTATGACGGGTTGCATTTCTTTCGGGTAGAAAAATTCCGTCCCGACAGATAGCGCTCTTAAGCAACATTTTCAAAGTGTGTTTGGAGGGTTGCATTCATACAGGCGCGCATTTTTATAATAATTACAAAGAAAGTAAATAATAAAACAATTTAAAAAATGTTTGCAAAGCAAATATTTTTATAAATAATGATAAAAATTAAACTCTAATATTGTAATTAACTTATTCATATTTTTAGAATAATATTTAGTATTTTATATGAAATTAAGGCCGTTTCTTTTCCTTACTACATTACCGCGTTTCATTTTTTCAAATCATACCCATTCTAAAGAAGTTTTCACTTTAAAAAATATCATGTGATTGATTTTCAAAAAATTTCAATGAGTCTACGAAGAAATTAATCAATGATCAATGAGCATTGACTGAACTATTTCGTAGACTCGTAAATTGAAATAGAAACAAATGCACACTGTCTCCTATCTCATTCTTTCATAGGCTAAATCCTATAGATGTATATACGTTTGTCTCTTTTTCTCTTTTTAGTACCGTATTCGTTTCATCTTTTCGTTTTCGTTACCATGAATTTTCCACCTCCATTCTAAAAAAGTTTTCATTTCAAAAATAATCATTTCTTACCCATAATGGTCCTGATCTTTCTCCAACGTATAAAAAGTAAAGATCACGTTCTTTCTTAATGGTATCAAAGCTTTGGCTTTTAGTAATTTCTTGTACAGGAGGACCACTTAGTCTCAATGCAAATTTAACTATCTCATCTCTTGTTCTATCTCCATGGTATATAAATTCATTATCTCCTTTTAAACTACGAACAGAATAATATAATACTGTACTTTGAAATTTGATTAAATTATTTTTAGACATGAAACATAATATCTCTTCATATACATACAACAATATCGTAGGAAAGCCTTTTATCTTGAACGTATGTGCAACATTTGTAAATCGTGTACAATCAACACGACCAACACGTATTGATGTAGCATGCAAGTGTTGCGCTACATGAGACCATATTGGTTCTAATCTTCTGCAATGTGCACACCATGGTGCATACATCTAAAAGAAATTTTATGTTACATCTTATTTATTTTCTTATCTTATTTTCTACCTTATTAATTCATCTTTTTCATATTTACCATCACAAGCCATTGTCCATCTTTATGAATTTCCAAAAATCTGTAAATAAAGTTCTTAGTGTATGTGGATATTTTGTTAATTTAAAGAAATAATTAATTATAAAAATATATTCTTACCTGTCACTTAATTCAAGGACACGAGATGCAGTAGTATGCATAAAAATTGCTGAAAAAGCTAGATTGTATTTTAATAAGAAAATATACAAATAAATGAATTATTGTACACATTATAGATTTACTGTCAAATATGTTTTCATGTATACAAATTTATTATAATATGAGATTGGAAAGTAGAATCTTAATATTATTAAAGTTAAGAATGTAAATCATGTTAAGAAAAGTTCAAGCAAAGAGTAAATTATCGATCGGTAGTATTTGAGGTTATTCCTAAAGTAACATTAATTTAAAGTGACAGAAATTGTATTGAAAAATAAAAAAATTGTAATAATAAAAGATAATATATAATATAGTATAAATAAACGAATCATAAATACCGTAAAAGGCTACGACGAACGTAATTTTTGTTAGCGAAACCATTGTTGTCATATCACACTAATTGTTGAGAAATCGAAAGAGAGCACACACTTCTTATAACCTTAAAAATACAGCCTGGCCAAGCTTACTCCCACATTATTAAGACAGACGTTCATACTTAAATAAACATATTTCTCATGCTTGACGTGTCACACACTCGAAATATTCCAACGTGTGCAATACATTTTTTAACTTTAACAGAACGCGACACAAATTGTCGCACCCACTGTATACAACTGTAATATGTTTCTTTTTGTATAGATAGATGAAAATTAATTTTTTTTTTACATTATCTTCAGAAAATAACAATTTATTTACGATTTACATTTTGTTGATAACGCAGTTTGCAATATTTATAAATTACCTGTCAATTAAGATATGGTAATATAGAACACTTTATCATCCGGGAATAAGATTATATTTTTCCCGCAAATGTCGCTCCTTATAAACTGCATTACCGACATACTCGTTGCCAGCATCATGGCGCCAAATTTTGAATTACTTTAAACAAAAAAATGGATGAGTATTACGAGAATTAATAATCAAAGTAATATTTCAAATACATTAATCACATTGCTCTTTTTATCGATTCATCATGTTTTTTTCAATAAATTTCAATCAATTATATTTAAATATTTTAGTCTTATTAAACAATGTGAATGTTGATATTGTAGAAAATTAAATGACATTAATTTAAATCATTGGATGTAATGTCTCTCGGAAAATTCTCATCGGAATTCTGAAAAATAATATTGTAATTATTAAATTATTAATAAAAATGTATATATATATTTATAATTTTGTTTCTATCTTTTCACCTTTCAATCCGTTAAAGTACTATCTGGTAAACCACCGAGTAAGATCATTAGAAATATATAGGTAAATTGCAGAATGTTAAAGATCACAGTAATAAATGTGAGATAAAAATTAAATATTAATAAAAATGGAAAGAAAATGATAGTAACGCCTATGGCAGCCAAACCTCTTAATATATTACCCATTTGTAATTTTTTTCACTAACTTTTTCATTCTAATCACAAATTTGTTATTTTTTTTTTTTATATCTTCTTATATACAAACATATAAATAAAATACGTGTACATAATATATAATTAGCATACCTGCATTGATTCATCAATTTCTTCTATATCCATCAAATCAATACCAGTAATTAAGGACATTAATAATATATACATTCCTAAAGAAACACTTACGAGATGTGAAAGGAATATCATATATAAATATAAAATGTATAAAAACGGTAAAAATATTAGGTTAGTAAAAAATTTTGCTATCGTTTGAAACAGTCGCATTTTTTTTTTGTAAAAAAAAAAAAGAAGGTATCCGAAAAAATTCCAATCTATATTAACTATTTTAATTTCAATGAAATATATGTATATAACAAATTATAACAAAAACTGCTGATAAAATATATACAAGTAATTAGGAAAGTAGCTTAATGTAAATAAAAAAATCTATAAAAATTGTATTTTTATCACTTACATTATGTTACATCAATTTATATTATAATAAAGTGAAAAAAAAAACATTGAAATAATTAACATATGATTTAAGCTACTTTCATAATTATCAGCATTATATTTCTACAAATTGTATAATTAAATATATAGATTGCATAATTTTGGTTTTTCTTTTTTAAGATACAAACTTGTTTCTTCTTGGTTTAGGAATAGGAATCTCGTTTTCTATAGTGAATGTAGCATTACTAGGCAACGAGCTATCACTTTCTAACATTTTAACAAAAGTTTTCTCACTATCATTCAAAGATCTTTCATTAGCTGAAGTTTTCACGGAATTCAAATCATGATTCTGTTCAAACTCAGATTTCTCTACGACATAAGTGCCAGCACTTTCTGGTGAAGTAGAGGAAATAATCTTCGATTCGTGAACTTCTTGTTTGATCACAGAATTCAAAGAATCAGAACGATCGTCCGGCATTTCTTTACGAAAAACTCTATTTCTTTTAGAACTTTGTGCACCATCTGAAAAAGCTTTTGGTGTGTTTTCTTGAATAATTTTATTCCTTTTTGAATCTTTAGCACTTTTTGATCTTCTCCCATTAATATCGAAATCCGAATAATTCTCTTGCAAAACGTGAAACGTTTTCATCTCAATCTTTTCTTTATCATCGTAACTCAAAGAACTAGATTCATTGTACGAACTAGAATGATGATCTACGATATAATCTTTCACAGAAGATATTTTCTTAGATAATTTTTTTCTATCGTTATCCTGGTCCTTAAAAAAACAACTCTGACCCGATTCAAGATCATTCGACGATCTGGACGTATTCGAAAGTATTCTATCAATTTTCTCGATAATATTATACAAACGACTTGTGCTACGACTTTTTAATTGCTCTTCAGTTTCCTTCAGTCGTTGTAATTTTAATTTTGCACTCTCGTACTTACTTTCATTTTCTTCGTCTTGAAAAATATTCACGATCGTTGAATTACGACTTCGAACAGATCGAAAACTGTTTAATTCTCCTTCATTTAATAATTCCTGTCGTCTACCACTTGACATTGATCTTGATCTTTCTTTGACAGAAACATTTGGAAGATTCAAGCTCAGATCAATCCTATAATCTCCAATTCCTGTTTCAGTTTCCATCGTCATCGACAAACCTATATCCTTTCCAGTTGAATTCTTGTCAAACTTAAAAATTCTAACTGGAGCAGGACTTCCAAAACTCGAGAATGCTAATACGTGATCGTAAGGATGATAATCAACGCAAGTTACTGCTCTGAAGGTTCGTTCTATCGTATATCTTGCCAAATATTTACCAGTTTCTAAATTCCACACGTTCAAAGTTGAATCTTCACCACCACAAAAAATCAAACTACCGCAGGGCGAGATACATGCTGTTAACTGTATCCTGTCAGATAATTACAATTAATTAGTTCATAATATTAACATATTTAAATTTAGAAAGAGAAGAAAAGTATACCTTTGATTTTTTAAACCATCATACTTTTGTAATACCACACCAGCAGAAAGATCTATCATTCGCAGACCATTGTCTCTCGAATGAACAAGCAATCTTGATTCGAGTGGATGTAAAATGATCGTGTTTATTATAACATTCTCAATTTCACGAATTTTTATCTTTTTTGACAAATACCATTCTTTCCTAGATGACATCCTACGACTTTTTTTCACCGTCCACAGTACAATCGTACCAACACTGTCACCTGTTAAAAGATTACCATTTTTGAGAAAGCATAAAGAATTAACAAATCCTTCATGTGTTTCTAATTCTTGACTAAGCTCGTAATTCTTTGATTTCGCATCTCTCGTCCATATTCTTGCAACACGATCGTAACATCCTGTAGCTACTATAGATGGATTTTTTCGATTGAATTTACCACAGTAAACGTAAGAAGGGTGAGGCAACATCTAAACAGAAATTTCAAATTAGGAAAGAAAACAATTTAAGATAATTCAAATTTATCAACTCACTCGAATATGTTGTATAATTTTATTACGAACATCCCATATACGAGCTGTTTGATCAGATGAAACAGAAAGTAAATAATGGTCATCAGGCGACCAGTTCAATGAATAGGTGAACGTTTTATGTCCAGAAAATCGAACGTGAACTTTAGTTGATTCAATCTAAAATTAATTCAATGTTATAAAACATTCTATGCAATTAATCATTTGAAAAAATCATTTTATACCTCATATACTACTATAGGATAATCATATTCTTCGGAAAAAACACAAGCTAAATATTTGCCATCGTTGTTAAAGGCAAGAAAGAAACATCCATTTTCACTAATTTCAGTTTCGAAGCATTTCTCATTCGGTATTTTACAAGATTGGGCAGCCAATCTCGTCCATCTTGGTAAATTAATTAATTCTGACGATTGCGCCGATAATTTATGAGATTCTTTTCCAGTATCCAAAATATCGTCGAAAGAAAGTTGCTGATAAAATACTGGTTCTAATTTCGGTGGATCTATCGATGTAACAGTGACGTAAAGACTACTTGGATATTTTTCTCTTTTATTCGATTTCCACCAATTGTAAACCTATTAAAAATATTTCATTGAAAGCTTTGTCATAAAAAAAGATATAATAAAGTAAGAAATAATTGTTCTTACTTCGCATCTTCTTGAACCAAAGTTTCTTATACTTTTCTGAGGCCTGTACAATTGCAATCTGAGCTTTTTGTCAACGTGTATCGCGTTATTTGTTCCAACTGTTTTTAAAAATGCCCAGGCTATTTTGTACCAACATCCTTCGTTACCTATTCACGAGAAATTTCGATTATTATAAAACATAATAGATTTAATTTTAAATTAAACATATGAAATATAAAATAAGGAAACTTGCCAAACCTATCGTAGTTGAAGCTAGCTTCGGCGAAACTCAATAGATCAACAATTTCAAAAAAAATAATAACTTTTTCATTCCCAGTCTTCATAATCATTTTAAAATCATGTTCAAATATGAGTTCCTCTTCCCAAATAGGTATCATTGATCTATTCTCCTTAAAATCAAACTTATCAGTGATCATTGGCTGTAGATAAGAACTTCCACCATTATCATTTTGATTTTTTAAATAATTACCAGTCTCTGCTTCAATAATATGTACTTTAACCATAGGATGTTTTGTCACATAATCAATTTCTAACATATCAGCTTTGTGAATTGTAATTAAGATGTATTTTATTAATTCAATTTTTTTCTTCTTTTTCTTCTTTTTCTTCAACTCTTCTTCTTTCGTTAAATGACGAAATTCTTCTTTAGATCGACGATCTTTCTTCTTTTTATTTTCAGATAAAGTTTTACCAATCGACATTTTAGATGAAGATTCTTCTTCTTTTTCTTCTTCTTCTTTCTCCTCGTTGGTTGAAAAACTTTCATAACTCGAATATTTCGTAATTTTTGTCTGCTTTTTTAATACATCCTGTCGATCATCATTAATTAATTCATTTTCTGATATCGCATATTGCAATCGATCATTTGAAATTTCTTCGATACTTTTTGAAAAATTCGAACGAAGAGAACTTTTTCTTCTTCTTCTTCTTCTTCTTCTATTAGACAAATCTGAGGTCTTTTTCATAGATGACGAAGAAACATTAGAATCTTGAGTATTTTCTGTAATCAACGTTGTTTCTTGTTTTCTAGAAAAATTCTTTTTCGAATGTTGAGATGAGGAAGGTGTATCAGTTTGATCACTCATCCTTCTTATTTCAATTCTCGTGTCATCTTTCAAATGATCTCTCTCAATTCTCAATACTTCTTCGTTCTCCGAAATGAATGCTTCATTTTCAAAAGTAAAACGTGAATTTGATTTCATAGTCGATGATGATCTAGGGGCTGGTACCGGTAATAATCTTGAACTTTCTAAAGTCTTTGAAATATTTTTGTTTATCGGTGAAGAAGAACCCAACGTTTCGGGTAAACGAATTACGCTGGTATCTTTGGACCAACGTTTCCTAGCTGATTTTTTTAAATTTGTAACTTCATTTGTCATAGGACGTACTGTCTCCCATTGTTTTCTACGACGTGGTTTTTCTTCTAATAAATTTTGCGTAGATCTCGATGATAGGACAGACGTTGAAATAGTTTCTTCGTCATTGTCTTCAAATTTTTCTATCGTATCTGTTACAAAATTATTCTGCGATGTAACTTTAATATTTTTCTTAGATTCCTCTTGAAAATTACTAATTGAAGACAAATCTTCTAATTCTGATACTTCGGTTAACTTAGAGTCAAGAATTTCAACATTATCTTTTAATGATTTCATTGGTATTGTTTCTTCATAATGTTGATGAACGTCTACAACAACATCAACTGATTTTGAATTGTTAGATCTTTCTACTTTTTTTCTATTAACAAGAAAAGGAGTTGAATTCATTTCTTCTTTTATATCCGATTCGTTGCTCATCGAATTTGTCATAGAATCATTTAAATCATTTTTTTTCGAATTCAGTAACATTTTACGATCATTAGTATCAAATCTTTGGGTAGTTTTCTTCTTCTCTGGTTTTTTTCTTTTCACAAGTGTCAATTGATTGATTGATTCTATTTCACTTCCTGATCTACTTGCATTTAAATCAGACGTCCAATCAGAATTACGTACCAAACGTGTCTTATCTTTATCTGACATTGTTATAATCTTTTTGTTATTTAAATTTTTATAACAAAATAAAACTTCTTCAGCAATTCTTCATCTTCTTAAGTTACGTATCTAAAAAGTATTATTATAAATCGTTATTTGTTTGTCACACAATAAAAGTGTATAAACTTATTAAAGTATTAACTAACTCTCATAATTAAGATTTAAATGAAGTTTTGCATCACTGATCTATTTCTTGGTACCGTTAAAAAATCGATTTTTTTTTACACAAAATTTAATGATGGAGTATACATTTTTCTGTTAATAGTTTTTTTAAATTACAAAATTTTATTTGACAATATTCATTTTATTTTATTTTTTTATTTTTTTTTTTTTTTTGATACACGTTTAAAGTGGTTAACACTTTGACAGACAACACCAAACTGATTGCATGGCCTACAAGAACTTAACTCACATTTATTCATACTACTCGCGGAAATGTGAATAGATCGATAAACGGCAGGTGTTTACCGCTTTCGTGTTTGGCTGTGTATGGAAAACTTGTATTGATTATAATGCACTTATAATTCACCTATTTTTCTAACATCAAATCGATTTTAAAATAGTATTAGAAACAATTCATTTTCGTAGGAGAAAGTATGATTAAACGGATGAATAGATTTTTTCCTTTTTATATTTATTAATCACATAATTGTATATGTAGATTAACATATAATTTAATTATTCTAATTTGTATTAAACTAATTGATAATTGTAAATTAACATAAGTTAATTAATCTAATTTGTATTAAGCTAATTAATAATTTCATTACCGTTTATATCATTGTTGTTTAATTCAACGTCATTTTCTGCAGATCTTCTTGCTTTTTCCTAAAAAAATAAAAAATAATATTAATTAAAAATAACATCATATGAATAAAAAGAAACAATTTAATTTTGATGGAATTCAAATAAAATCCCAAATTCTTACCGCTTCTATAATATTTATATAATCTTGTTCACATTGTTCTATCAATGCATTCTTCGAACATAGAACATCTTGTTTCGAATCCTCGCGATTATTACTTTTCGAAGGATCGTTCATATTATCTGAATCAACATTAACACGAAGAGATTTCATTTTCAATCTTATTTCTCTATTCTTTGCTTCGATCACTTTTTCTCTTCGTGTTTCTCTATCCAGTAGCTATAGAAATATAATTAAATAAATTTATATATAGAATAAACTGATTTATGTGTGTACGTGAGAATCATTTTTAAATATAAAAATATACTTCACTGCTGTTAATAATAATTTATCATTTTTATGATTGATCTTAAGTGCTTCCGATAATTCGAGTAAATATATTATACCATTTCTACCAGCAACAGCAACTAATTGTCCTTGTTCATGAGGTCTTACACACGTAAGAGTTTCATCACATACCTAAAAATTAAAATAGACTTTAATATACGTAGGTTGGAACTTAAATAGTGGCAACTATTTATTCACAACCGATACAAAAGAGTTAGTGCCTGTTTGCACCTGTTACTGTCCTTCAAAGTGGTAACCAGCGTTATGTAGAACCCGTTTCCAACGATGTGGAAGGCGTAGTATACCGTTAGCAGAGCCTGTTCTGTTGATGGTGCAAATGGAGCGGTCTACTGCCTATCGAATCTCTGGAACAGTTCTGAAGCGAATGCCACGATGGGTTCCGTATGAATTGACGGAAATGCAGAAATGGATGCGTTACGACGCTGCTCAGATGCACTTGGAGTTCTATAAACGCGAAGGAGAGGTTTTCTTACGCCGTATCTTAACATTGGATGAGACATGGCAGTAGACCGCTCCATTCGCACCATCAACAGAACACATCGCTGGCAACGGGTTCTAAACAACGCTGGTGACTACTTTGAAGGACAGTAACAGGTGCAAACAGGCACAAACTCTTTTGTATCGGTTGTGAATTAATAGTTGCCACTATTTAAGTTTCAGCCTACCAAAGTATATTTAAAAAAAAAAGAAAAGGAATAAATAAATGAAAAAATATGACCTTTATACTAAGAACCGGAGTATCCTGTTGTATTAACAAATCCCATACATCCAAAGTTCCATCAATTTTGATTAAAAAAAATACCGAAAATCTTGTGGCACTCCATGAACCACCCATAACAAATTGTCGATGACCTCTGACAGATTAATCATTCAGAATGAATATTTCTTTTTATATTTTATTTATCATACTTACGGAGTCCAAGCAATACAAGATTCTCTACAATCTTCGGACCATATTCTAGCAGTCCAATCGCCTATAGTTAAGAAATTTTTAATAAATGTTGGATTCCTTACTAAACCTATTACTGGACCATACTGAACTTCAAATCTAACTGCTAATTTTTCACTAGGTGTTTTTCCCTTACGATTTGCGGATATTACCATACCTTGAAATACGACAAGATTGTAAATATAATTAAGATATTGAACAAACAAATTAATAGACGAAAATAAAAATAAAGAATAACCATTTTCTAGACCACACATAAATCGTGAACTCATAGAAGGTTCAAATTGTAACGCGGATACGCCAGTTGCTTGATCCACATTTTGATTTTCAGGTTTTTCTAAATCTATCACCAAAGTTTCAGTAGGAACTTTCATTTTTCTTGTATCCCACCATTTGATCTACAATATAGATAGAAGTATAAAAATCAATTGATTAATAATTGTATATATTTTTTGATAATCAATTAAACCTGTCCATCCCTTGAAGAACTGAAAAATTCAGTTCCAGTCTTCGAATTGATCCACAAAACGTTATCACATGGATCTCTATGACTCTGATTAACTAAACTAACTTCATTAGGTTCACATCCTTTTCTTATATCCCAAAATGCTACTTGCCCAGTCATTAAACCACCAACTAAAACATTATTATCCTTCGAACTATATTCTAAAGTTAAAATCGGACAAAATGGTTTTAAAGTCATAAAAGGACTGCCTGGATTCTCTGGAAAGTAGATACAATCATTTTATTTTTGTTTATATACAATTGAATATTAATATAAGTAGTAATTTACTAACCAATGTCCCAAATGTATGATGTAGGATTGAAATTAATTGTATTTTTAAAATCAGTATTACAATAATTAGCTGCAAAACGAGTTCCTTGATCAGGTGACCACGAAACATGTGTTATCTGACGTTTCACTGATAAAGGATCACGATATACATTTACAGTACGGGAAAATGTTTTTGGTATTAATGACGTTGCTTCTGTATCATTAAAATATTGTTCATAAATATCGCATGCATTATTTTGTAAAATGCAATGTTCCATTGGCTGGAAAAAATTTGAAATAAAAATAAATAAAGAATGTGAAATATAGAAAATTAATTTTTAATAAGAGAAGTTAATTATTTATATTAATCTTATAATTGTTATAATTACAGGTAATAACTGTAACATGGTATGAATATATAATTCATCCTTTTCTATCTTCCGTCTATATCTAACTGTTTGTTCTGCCTCTTTCATATTAATATCTTTTGGCCAACCACCCTCATAATGATACATTCCATTATTTCTATAAGTTACAGTATTTGTGTTTACCTATAAATAATTATTCACGTGGTTATTATTTTTATTTATTTTTAAATATATTTAAACATGTGTATATATACCTCATGAACAGCGAATACTTTGCTGTACTGAGTACTTCGTGTTACAGTATTTATTTTCATGTTGTTATGCATCAGTGCTGGACTTAATTGAGTACCTAGTTTTACATAATCTTATTTTGAAAAATTACACGTTTCTACTAAATTGCAATTTTACGTTACGTGTATTACAAATTCTTAATAATTTTCTTGCAATAATTCAATTGAATACCACTGGTCAATGACAAAATAAAAAGTGTTTAAATTACGGTAATTCCTTTTTTTATTATTATTTTAAAAATCATTTATAAAAAAATATATTTGTATCAATAAAAATAAAAACTCCACACACAAAATGATAAATTGTAATAAAGCTTGCAAATATCCACTCAGTATACAGAAGTATATCTGTTAAATCAAACATGTTTATATGATTCGAGGTTGCCTTAGCAACTTTCTAAGAATCTAATACTATCTAGAAACTTATTTAAATTACATGAAACTATTCTTCTATTCTAACTAAAACTGGATTTTGTGGATTTAAACCTTGGCTCAAAATATCAATCATTTTATATATCTGTACATATGCATCGTCTGTTAGTTTTAAAAAATGCCTCATATTAGGTATTACATCTTTCAACAAAATTTCTATTAACGTATTGAGATATTTTTTCTGTTGAAACTCTTGCAGATTTTCAAAAAATGACGACAACTGTGTGACATCGTTATAACGTATACAGCATGCTTTAGACATTCCTGAAATGATTCATTTGGATCATAAAATTGATTAATAAAAATAAATATAATTTTTATTATACCTTGAAGATCCTTGATACACGTACTATTCCAAATTCCATTTGACATCCATCCTGCAATCTCAGAATATTTTAATCTTGTTTTATGAGGTTCCACATTTTTTTCGTTAGGATTTATATTATATTTTCTTATATTATGCATTTTATAAATAGATTCCAATCTTTTGTCAAATTTCTCAATCTTTTCTATATCAATCATATCATCGTACACATTTTTCAATACAGAAAAGGATTCCACAACGACGCTTGCAACGTTCTTTTCTTGTTCAGAATAATTATTTTTATTTTCATTCTGAAACAAAAAGAGAAAATAATGGTCCATAATAGAAATTCGGTATATTATGCTTACCATTAGTTTGAATTCTTTTAAAAATCCTGCTGCTGCTGTTTGATGTTGCAAATTATTCACAGATTCTTGTGTATGTTTAAAATTTATGTAAGAGTGATAAGTTCTAAATACTTTTAACATATCTTTTGGAATACCAAATTTATTAAGAGCATCCATTATGTCCATTGATAAGATTTCTTCGGTACATAAAGGAGCATTTTCTCCATGTAATGGACAATCTTTTCTATTTATATTTGTAGACATATTTTTGGATGATGCTAAAGATAATTCTTCTATTAATTTAGTTAATTCACTTGTTGATGCTGCACAAACTTCAGGTTTCTTTTTTAAATTAATAGGTTTTGTATTATTATTTTTTATTTCTTTATTACTTTTATTACTATCTTGTAATTTAGCCGATTGTATATTTTTTATATTTAATTTATTTGCTAAAAGAAAATTCTTTTTTCCTTTTGATGTAACATTCGTTTTAACATTTGTTTTACTTGTAGATAATGACTTTGATGCTTCTGTAGAATCTTGTTTTGATATTGCAGTCTTCGATACAGTTTTGATAACACTTGCTGGGTTTTTCAGATTTTTATCAAGTGATTTTAATTTTGTTTCTTCAGGAGATTTCATTTTACTGTCATACTTTATGGATTTACGGCTGTATACTTTCTGTAAATTTATCTTATTTAATTCCTTTTGTTTCAAAAGTTTCTCTTGTTTTGAAATGTTGGATGAAAGTTTTTTTCTCAACTTTTGCGCTTCCAGTATTGCTCTGCCTATCCCTTCAGAAATATTTTGATCTTGATTTTCAGATGATACCTAATTAATTTCAAAAATATAAAATTATAAAGAGAAAATATTTTTACTAAGTAATGAAATATAAATTAAACTTATACCTTATTGCAAATACAATCATTCTTATAAACATCTTTAGTAACAACAGTTTTAGTTATCCAAGGTTTTAAAGCATAGTTTGCTTCTAAATATTCATATTGTAATGTATCTTTTACTGCTTCTGTGAATATTAAAGTTTGACAAATGAAGTCATTCAAAGCTGATAATTTAAATTCTGGATTCGTTGCTTCGACCATATTCGAACAATTCTAGCGACAAAGAAAAAAGAATTATATATAATTAAAAATAAAATATTAAAACTAAATATTAAACAGTACCACTCAAAGTGTTAAATACTATATATCTATCAAATCGGAATATCGATAATGTAAAAATTAAATAACACATATATATATATATATATATAATATAGAATATTATATATAAATAGAATATTTTTTTTTAGCATATAACACTGATTATAATGAAGATATGTATACAAGCATGTAAACATTACATGCTTCGAAAAAAATGTATTACTGGGTATTTATGGAATTTCATTTGGAAAAAAAAAGTAGCCACTATAGAATAATATTTTATATATTAAGAATAATATAATAAAGACTTAAAGATATAATTCATTTGTATCCTTTTTTTTCTTTTTTTTTTTCAATTTATATCCGATTCCTAGCTCCCTAGAATTTTTCAGTCCATCGAATTTAGGAAAACATTTAAATTGCTGCCTACGTTAGAGTTCAAGATAATTAAGTTAATGATTGATGTAAATGCTGTAATGGAAATGTAATAATATGTACGAGTCGTTGCCTCTAATATCATGATTGTGCAATATTCTCTCTTATTGTATTCATTTTCGAAACATTATTATCCACCGCGATAAGTTATCTTATATAAAAATAAAAATTAGCTTAGATGTACCAAACTCATCTTAAAGATTATTTAAGTATCCTGTTTTCACACTCATTGATATCACGACAACGGAAGCAGGCACAATCTGAAAACATTGATGTTTTCAGGAATCACTGAATCATAATAAGATGAATATATAAAACGTATAAGTTAATATCTATCTTTGTATGAGTTATTATCGAAGTAAAGATTTTTAAACAGGATCATAATATGGACATCTCTCATGTCACTCACAACAATGCTAGACTTACTTCAAGAACCCCTGCAAAAGGTTGCACAAAATACAATTATTTCCTTAATAATTAATTGTACATTACGACGCCTTGATTTAAAAATATAAAACTTAAAAATAACAAATGTAGATGCACCATTTAAAAAGATCTTAATAAAAACGAATGTTTATCTGAGAGGAAATTGTGGAATTCTTTGAATGGATGCAGGAAAGAGAAGGGACAATTATTAATTTTATTTCATTTGATTATGTGCGCCTATAATTCATCTTTCCTTGGCACATCGTCATCCTCATCTTCTTCCTGAGCCTATAATAAATATATAAATGATTAAATACGTGAAAAATATTACTTTATATTTATGTCATTTTTGACACAAACCTCCTTAGGAGCTTGACCATATACACCACCGGATTCAATGAATTTAGATAATCCTTCGAGTGTCCTCTCTTTATTATACTCAATTGCCTAAAAATAAGAATAAAATAAGCACGAAAAGTTCTATTTTACAACCTTGAATAAATGAAAATAAAAATATACCTACCTCATTTGTTTCTTTTTTGAAAAGCATAATAGTGGGATAATTGACAATCTTTAAATCTTCCAATTCATTCGCAGTAGCGTCCATTTTCGCTATCACTACAGATTGATTGTCTTTGTATTTCTTTCCTAACTACAAAAATAAATTTTTATGTTTAATAAAATAAAATTACAAGTCGAAAAAGGCTTTTAATAATATTAATGGACATACTTCTTCGTATATAGGCGCAAGTTGTTTGCAATGTCCACACCAAGGAGCATAAAATTCAACTAAAACGTCTTTTTCTTTATTAAATGCAATTTTATGGAAGTTAATACCAACAAGAACTGTGACAGGATTGAGATTCCAATCTTCGGGCAATTCCTGAGTAAGAAAATGTCTCTTCAATTCGCCTTTTGTGAAAGCAGTTACAAATTCCAAAACATTTTTGCCACTTATTTCTGGATTTTCAGGTTTATATTTTTCCATATCTTCATCTAATTTAATAAGACGAATAGCAGGAGCATCGTCCTTCTTAATGCCGAAGAATTCTAAGATTCTTTCATGATCAGGTTCATCTGCGTTGATAGTTACGAACAAAACCTAAGTACATTACATATCAAAATGATAGATTTTTAATATTACATTTCAATACTTATATATATATATATTTTTGTACAATTTCAAATTTTTACCTTTCCACGGAATTCCTGTGCAGGTTTTTTAATTTCATCAACATATTTTTCAAAATGACCAGCTTCTTTGCTTAGAAAAGCTAAAAGGTGACTCTTGACAGAACCACCAAATATCTTTTGAGCTGTATCTTGATTGAAATCAACGATTATAGGTAGAGAATAAATATTGATAAAGTTTTTAACATTTTCAAAGGTGAGTTCTCCATCATATTTATTCTTGCCTTCATCAAACTAAAAAAATATTAAATAATGTAATAAATATATTAAATACTTATATATGCATGTATTTACATATGATATATCATACCTTCTTGAACAGTACAATAGCATGATCTTCTACTTCATATTCTTTCAATACTTCTTCAGTATTTGAAATACCAAATGAATAATCATCGACTGCATTGGCAACTTCCAAGAATAACTTAGCTTCTTCGGATTCTAAATCCTGCGGGGATAATAAAAAATAATAAATGTAATGTCTATATTAAATATAATTGCATAAACAGAGGAAAGTATAATCTATACCTTAAAGAATCCAACTATTGCAACTTCGTGTTCATCGATGAAAGCCTTAGCTTTTTCTACTGAAGTTAAATCTTTAGCAGCTGGTCCTGTTTTTTTAAGAAGCCAATTAACGATGTCATCTGCCATACGTCCACCATTGTATTCTATGACAAATCCTCTACGGTAAAACTTGAGTGTGGGATATCCCCTAACACTGTGTTTCTCTGCTAATTCAGTTTCTACAATTGCATCAACTTTGGCTAATTTAATATTCGAACCAGACTCAGCCAATTTTTTCGCTGCTTTTGCATATTCGGGTGCTAATGCCTTGCAATGTCCACACCATGGTGCATCTAATTGATATTGTACAAATTATTATTCCATTATTGTATAATAATGTTTTAAAAAATATTTTCTATATAAAAAGCACAAAAAGATAAGATTAAATGTTTAAATCAAGTAGAATTATTAAATAATAAATATTAATGAACAAACAGATGTTACAATATTGTTGATTAAACTTACAAATAAATGAGCAAAAAAACTGAACATGATTACGTCGTTAGCCGGTACGCGAGTGATGACGTGTAAGGGTCAAACATCTGGTCTTAATTTTTTCATGTATTTAAACTTAATTAAACAATTAAATAAAGAATAATATAAAAGTAAGAAGCAACAGGAGGTCATGAGGTGGCCAGATTTAAATACGTAGGCGTTGAGAACGTATAACGGAAGGAAGAAATAAAAAGATAGTAATACTCACAGAATTCAATAAGAATATAGTCATTATCTTTGATCGCCGATTCAAAATTCTCAGTGTTAATGACTAATACACCATCGTCAACCTCAATCTTTGCAAAAGCGTAACTTAGGCAGTAAACCGCCAAAATAATCGCCGTAATGGCATTCATCTTTGACATGATCACACGTTCGACTACTACTGTTGTACTGGACAAGAAGGACAGCTGGAAGTAACTGTGAATGATGAAAAGAAAAAAAGAAAATAAAGTAAAATAAAGAGAAAATAATATAAAAAGAGAATAAATTCACGTAAATTAATTTGTTTTAAAAAAAGACAACAACAATTGGAATTTATTTTAATAAGATATAAAAAGATAGATATATATATATATATAGATACTAACTGACAATGTATAAATATTCGTTAAAAAATAAATTATAGAAGGAGGATATAATGTTAGGTGAATAAGGGAGACGAATATAATGAGAACGCGAATTAAATGAACGGAACGGAGCTGACGCGGACGACACTGTCTGACTATAACGTTCTATGTATATAGTAGAATCACAGTTAACGCGTGGCATCTCCTATTCATCGTGGGAGCCACTCATTGGCTGACGCCGTTGATCCAAATTATCTCCAGTATAATGACAAATTTTATATCATAATACTTACAAAGTATTATCAGGGTTCAAACTTATTGACGCTTATACTTTTGTTATTTATGGAGCTATGTGAGATTCTTATCAATCATTAACTGTAACACGTAGCTCATCGATATTCGTAATAGATTAAAGCCATTCTTTTTAAGGAATCTTAGTTTTTTTTTCTTCTTTTTTTTTTTACCAATATATTACTCATAGTACGATTTTTATCTATATTTTTATTACCGAATGACAAAGACCAAATAAGGTATTCCTCCTTTCTTTTATTTTCTTACATTTCCTTTTTTCTTTTTATTTTCAGGTATATTTTTATTTGTGATTTAATAATGTGTCATTTTATTTTTATTTTTGTTCATAATATTTAATTAATTACACTTGAATAAATGTAATTTAATGATTGTAATATAAGTAAGATCATTTTTTCATTGATGCACTATCTCCGACAGTTGAATATTGCCGCCATTAGTATTTATTTAGCTGTGTAAACAGGTGTGTAATATTTTTTTGAATTATCGAAGAAAAGTATTACCTAATAACTATGTAAATTCGTCCTTGTATTTCATAATATTTAATCGATGTAAAGAGTTAAATAATTGCATTATCGTAAAATCGTTAAAAAGTTATAGTTTTTGTCATAACCTTACCAAATCATTAGAAATTATGTTCATTACGTCAGATGATATCTCTCCCTCTTTTTCTTTCTTTCTATTTATATACATATTTATATTTGCTAATTAAATAGCAAAATTTAATCTGTATTTTATACTATAAAGTAATAATTAACTTAAATGTTAAATAATGCAATTATTATTTAAATACTCACATATATTATACGTTGTTAAAAAATAATAATCAAAAGTATAACTAAAACGGAAGAGATATTGACTATCATTCTTAAAGCGCGGTTTGTAAGATTTGAATTTAAAATTTTTTATTTTTCAATTATATGTTACTTCCTATAAATAAACTAAATAAGTATTATTTTTTTATAGATAACAAATGCACTTAAACTAATTAAAGAAATTATAATAATATACTTAAATTTTGTATAACAATTAACAATTAATAAATTAACAAAATATAAAGATTAAAATTTAAAAATTTAATTTATTTTTTGGCGCGAATTTTAAAATATTTGAATATTTACGAATAATAGAATTTAATTTTTATTACGAATTTTAATTTTAGTTTTCTTAAAGATTTCGTAGTATCTCGAACGTTAGATGATGTGCCAACTATTCTATAGTTAAAATACTCTTTATTGTACTTATACAAGCTTTTCTGTCTGCTATTAATAGAAAGCAATCAGTTTATATTTTTGACATTAGACAGTGAAGTCAAGGTAACGTCTAGAATTTTGTTATACAACTGTTTACTTTTTTTTTTTTTTTATTAAAAACGTTATAATAATTAATTTAATAATATTTTTAAAAAATATTATTGAGTGATCACATAAGCCAAGAAAAAGTTACATAATAATCATACTAATAATGATTAGAAAATCATAATTCTTAAGTGCATTTGTTAATTTATTGTTTTTAGATGTCTGCTCATAAAATAACATCAGAAATATTTACTGAAAATGACAAGAATTCAGAAGAACTCTCTAACGGTAGTAAGTTTATTAATCTTTAATTTTTATATTATTTCATACTAATTTCTTTTTTATAATATAATCATTGCTCGTGTTTTTTATTATTAGGTACAGTTACTCAATTTATCTTCAAGTGTCCATCTTACATGATGAAACCAAAATCAAATATAATAGCAATAAAGTATGACCAAGATGATGATCTGGATATAGATAGGAATATAGAAAATATTTTATATATAGGTATGTATTTTCTATTCATTTAGTTTACTTTAAATAGTACAAATTATCTTTGTTTTAGAACACAATGTATCAACAGAATTGCAAATGGTAGGCTTGCAAGTATGGCGAGGTGCCCTTTTACTAGCCGATTATATTTTATCCAACCCTGATTTATTTAAAGGAAAAATCATTATGGAATTAGGATCAGGTGTTGGTTTAACTAGCATCGTTGCTAGCTTTTTAGCAAAGGAAATAATTTGTACAGGTGATTATAATAGATGAGAGATGATAAATTTTAGTAAAAATAGTCTTCTTCAATTATTAATATTTGTTTACTTCTTCTTTTTCTTCTTTATCTAGATATTAATTTAGGTGAAATATTAAACTTAATTAAGCGAAATTTCATAAGAAATATATCTTATGTGAAATGTAAATTCCATATAGAAGAATTAAATTTTTTAAATTTAAAATGGTCTCAAAGTTTAGAAGAAAAAATAAATGTGACGGATATTATCATAGCTGCGGATGGTAAGTTTGTGCTCGAATTAATTGAAACTTGTTATTAAAAGCATTATTCTTTTCTTGTTTGCAGTCATTTATGATGACGTTATAACAGATGGATTTGTTACCACATTAGACAAAATCTTAAAAAAGAAAGATTCAAAAATAGCTTACATAGCACTGGAAAAAAGGTATGTTTTCACTGTTGCTAATATGGACACTGTTGCTCCAATGTATGAAGAATTTCTACGTTGTATTAGAAGGCGAAATCCTAACTGGAACATAGAATATGTGAAAATAGATTTTCCACGATTTTTTAAATACGACAGAGTTAAACATATGATTCTAATGAAAATAGAAAATAATGATAAGTAAATATATAGTATAAAAAATATTTAATTATTTAATTTGGACTATAAATCCTTATAAATTGATTTAATAAATGTACCTTTGAATGATTGATAATTATTCACAGAAGAAATGATATTTTTATTTGTCAGAGTTATCTGAACAAGATTATTATGATTTGTCTGTAGATATGTTTCTTCACGAAGCAATTCCATTTCTTTCCTTATTACTTTACCTAGAAAATAAATATATTTTTGTATTATTTTGTTTATATATATATTGTAAAAATGATTTACCTCTATTCACATCGTCAGTATAATAAATCACAATAACTTCGGTACTCTTCTACTGTACAGAACATATTTTGCATGAAACATCTTCAGAATTTAGCTATGTAGCTTTCTATGAATTATCTCCAAAAATAAAATTATTTACTTGACACTTTTCTTTATACTTTGTTACCACATTAACAGGTACAGGATTATTTTTCACTTGGTCTAAACTCAAGTTTACAAATAAGTTTATAATATTATCTAATGTTACAGTTTCTATCACTTCAATTTTAGAAAACAAAAAATATTTACAACTGTACAATTCTGTATTCCATTATAATTCCAAGTATGGGTGTAATTAGAATTAATTTGACTATTTATTTCTTCTTTTTATTAATGGATAAATAATGATTTCTTACATCATTTTGAATATATCCAATTATATTGTGATTGTGTATAAATCTGGTATTTTTCTTTAGACTATGTAGTTTGGTGAATAGATGAAGACTGTTTCTTTGACATTTATGAAATTTGTAGTAGAATAGTTTTACATTTTCAAAGAAACTTCCCTAGTAGCAGAAAATATTGAAAAATATTGAATACATCTGTATTTAATATTAAAAAGGCATTGAATCTCTTTTTAATATTAAATACACATGTATTCAATATTTTTCAATATTTTCTGCTACTAAGATTTTTTCATTCGAATAAGGGAAGAGTTTTTAACTTATATTATTATAATATTGTTGCAAATGAAGAACAATTTTTCTTGATATTCCGTAAAGCATTTGTAGTAACATCAATATTGCCAACGTTGCCAAAAATACTTAATTTCACATTAGCAGATTTTCTTAATTTTATAAGATTTGTATCTTTTGGTGTTGATTTTTCTAAATAATTTATATAAATGATTTCATTTCTTTTAACAAACATATAATAGTTTAAAATATTATTTTTAAAGTTATCACATCTATTGCCACTATAAGATATAACCAGACAAAATAGATGTCGACATACTAAAGGATATGGATTACAGAAATTTAAGGATAAATAAAAAATTTGATATATCGTGGATTATAACATTCATTTCCTTGGATAAATATTATTATCAAAAGTTAAAATTTGTGATGACAACTGGTTCTTTCAGACAATTAGATAAAAACCAATTTCATACAGTTTGTTTTTTTTTTTAATTTGCTTGTTTCATAAAATGTATATGATGAGAGACGTAATAAGATACTCAAAACTTCTTTCTCTCTCTCTCTCTCTCTCTCTCTCTCTCTCTCATTCTCTCATTTTCTCTCTTAATAACACATTTTATTGCAGTCTAATACAAACTATCGTTAGAGAAACTTTGAAAATATTTCAATATACTTTAAATTCCAAACAAAAGTAATAATTACCACTTATTTTTATGTCCATGTATTTTATTGTAATTTTTCTTTTTTATTATTTTTTTTTTTTTTCTATTTACATCCTAGCATAAAGACAATAATATTAATGGACAGTAGTTGAAGTCGTTCGAAGAAGACGAAGATTCCAAAATTCTTAACAAACATTAAGAAGAGCAAGTATGTATGAATAACAAAAACAAATTGAAATAAATGATATTATTATATATAAAGGAATGTAGACGTTTCTTCGAACAACTACGGGCAGTAAAAGTCATATATTACACTCAAGTAAACATTTTATCATGATGCACTAGCTCTGATTTACAAGCTTTTATGAGAGAACAATATGACTTATATAATATATTATGGGAAACAAAATATACACATAGAGATTCCCAAAATGGTCAACAATTGTTACTCTCATATACAGACCTTGCTAGTTTGGTAAAGGCACTTTCAACCTATGCATTCCTTCTTTTATAAATTTAAATTTACAATTTAAGATTTGCGTTATTCAAATAGAGCATAAAAATCAACTTCAACTTAATTCAATTCTATCTTTCATTATGACGCGTTATCATCAATAAAATATATTTGTATAATTCATCCATGATGGTAAATGTTAAAATATTAATATGATAAGTTATAGGATAATTTAAATTAACAATCTATAAAATACAAAATTACTATACTGTATAAAAAAACAGCATGTACAAAAAAAAAAAAAGAACTGACATATTGATTATATGTAAAAGCAAAAAAGTTAACAAGAAATTTAAAAAAAAAGTTCTATTCTTTTAAATAATTTCCCCAAAAATTGATTGTCTTTTAGGGTCAATGTTTTTGTTATCACAAAATTTAATTTCTATTACAAATTAATATGTCTTACTACTTTTATGAGGCAGAGAATTTTACATTATATTATTATGAGCGTAAATTTTAAACCATTTGTACCAATACGTTGTAACATCCAAAGATATAAAATATATATAACATAAACAGTATCATTGACTAGACCATACAAAAATCAGTATGATACCATATGTTTAAAAAATAATAATTGTTGCCAATATATAATTATTAATTAATATAATGCGTTTTGAACTAATGCAAATTACTTAAATAGGAACAGCTTGAGCGTTCCTATTCCTCATTCATTTTTTAATTCATCAAAAACTGCATATAAAATCAAAATAAACGTTAATGTGTTGATTGAAACATATGCATAGAAACAGTCGATTTTACATTTTGAGAATTTGGTGATCCCAATGGAAGCGATGTTTTCCTCCTAGCGTTAGAACTAGAACAGTCATTATTAAAACTGATTTTTGTACTACTTGCTTTAGTAGCTGTAACGTCAGTAGATGCCTGAAAACCTGTGGATACCCATTTATCTACTTGAGCCTCATGAGATTTTTGTAAAACTTTGCGAACATCACCATTTTCACCTCCTTCTTTCATAATCTCCTGGAGCTTTTGAATAGTCTGATAAAGAATAACAGGACTAATTAAACCAAAATCAAATAAGCTGCACATATGCAGGACAAAATTTCGATACAAATTTTTCATAAGTAATTCCTTTCCTTTGGTTTCTAAAAACATTTGGCAGGCTAATGGTATTTGACAGTCTCCTACATATCCATACTTCATAACATGTAGATTCCACATTTTCATTAGTTCTTTTTCTCCCTCATTAACATCAGTAAAATCATCGATCATCATCATTGTCTTTGTTTGCAACCACTTTGGATCATTTTCTCCTTCCGAGTCAATATCCATTTCTTTTGGATAAATAGGCAAACAAGTAACAGTATGATGATATAATCTGCATAGATCAACAACATTGATCAGATACGAATAGAAAGAAAAAAACAACAAGATTTTAGCCCTCTAATAAAATATTATCGATCCTACCTATTGTGTCCAGTGATATAAGGTCTTTGGCTTTCAAATTCATTTTCATCGAGTTCAAGAAATTCAGATAAACTCGGTTTTGTTCTCTTTGGCCGACAGACTAAAATATTAGTTACGCTTGTACGTCTAGTAGGGCCACTGGAACGTTGCTGCCCTGATGCTGACCCAGCTCCAGAAGGGGCAGATGGTTGAGTAATTAATTCATGTGGACTACCAGCATATGAACCATCATAACATTCGTTTATTGCTACATCTATACGGGCACCTTGTGGTATTGGCTAGAAACGATATATTTGCTTATTAATTAATTAACGAAATTATATTAGATAGCTTTTTCTTCTCCTTCCTAAAAAAACAAAAAAAAACAAAAAAACAACTTACCACGTAGGTAAATGTAAATCTAGAATGACATAATTTCAAATGCTTTAAAAGAGAGTAAAGTTTTCCACAATCTAATGAACACCATGGGCAATGAAGATCCTCACAAGCCTCTGTTTGTTGACGACTGTTATTATTATATAAAAATTGATAAACTATTTGTTGAGTACCCATTGAATTATCCATTTTTTCAGTGGATACAGACATTCTCGAAGGGGTCAATGGACTAGGTGTTGGCAGTGTTGCATTATTGTTATTATTGGTGTTATTATTATTATGATTCGTAGAAGAACGTTCGAAGCCAGCTGAAGTAATTACATATATGCACAATTGTTAAATACATATTATTATTTAAATAATAGCAAGAACTTACTATTGCCTGATCGATTTTCTTTATTGTCACCACTTGGCACTGGATGAATAGGAGCAGGTCTATCCACTAAACCATTACTTGGCTCCGTAGTCCAACTAAGTCTAAATTTGAGTGTAGGACCTCTACTGAACACTTCAAAAGGACCACTATCTTTAATGTCAGGTACACTTTCCCAAGAACTATATTTCTTTGGGCTGGATCTAACATTAGCGTGTACTTCCTGCAAACCTAATTCATAATCACCATCTGTCAGAAGACATCTGTTATGTTTATCATATACTATGAGCTCAGAGCCATACAATTTTACTTCTTCACCACCACTTTTAATTGAACCTGCAGAAGACTTTCGACGTTTCTGTGCTGGTTCTACAAAAGGAGAAAAATACACACATATATTTCAAATATTTACATATTACTTATGCTAGATATAATTTGATATAATTTTGTATATACCTTCTAAATCACAGCTATGTATAAGGCAGCTATTATTAGACGTACAATATACCCTTAGTAAAAGCATATACGTCTTCGCTAAATGTCCATTATTTATAGTAAATGATTCATTAGGTATTGAGATTGTTGGTGCTTTAGGTGGAGGTTGATTTTCTAAAGGATTAATTGGAACCTCACTGGTTCCAACAGATACCTAAACAAAAAGTTTTTCAATTAGGTCGTTGCCTAATTTCTATCGTATTTCTTTTTCAAATAGTTTTAATTTTTTACATTGATATAGTAGAACATATTTTTATTGAACATTGACAAATTGTTGTTAATATTTGTCAATATAAACCATTAATTAAATAAATGTTTTTGCAGGGTATTTCTGATAGTTTAGATCAATTCAAAATACGACAAATAATAAAATATATTCATTGATGATAAACTTACTTGCATAATAGGTGAGCTTACATCTTTTCTTTTCTTGTGACAAATTTTTAAGAGTAAAGTTTCTACCTTTACTGGATCTTGTGATACTTCAACTATAATGATAAGAAAAGATAATATTTTAGAAATAAATTCAAATAATAATTAATCTATGTAAGGCAAAAACTTACTCTTTTTGTCATAGAATCCTAAAAATGTAAGTGTCATATATCCACGTACACCAAGAATCTGTTCTTCCATATTTTTCGACGTTAATTTTTCCAATATTGTGTCAATTTTAAATCCCCTACGGGATTTATGACTTCTGGACATTCGTTGCCTCATGTATGTTAAATTTCTATAGAGAAATATTGGCTAAAATAAATAAAATCAATTAAACTGTTGAACTTGTTTAATTTCATGTGATATTAAATTAAGAATCAAAAATTATTGAATAAAATTAAATAATAAATGTATGACAAAGTATAATATTATACCTACCGTAATAATAAGTATCCTGGATGTAAAATTATACAATAATAAAAAATATATTATAATTTGAAAAATATGAAATAGTAACCTCGTTGCATTAACATATTAAACAAACACAATAAATGATAATAAATCGCATTTAATCACTGGTCATAGTTAAAATCCTATAACTTTTTCAAAATCAAACGATACTAAAGTATTTTGTAATATGCTTAAAATAATAATACATAAAAAATATATAGCATTAACACTTTGAGTGGATTAAAAATTAAGATTACATATAGAAAATATTAAATATAATAATTTATAACTCGCTTACTTACTGATATTTGATTTCTTGTACGTAGAAAGCGATAAATTTGTGTTGGTTCTGTAAAGGAATGAACAAATTTATCAAATACATCTGAGGGATGTTAAATGAAGAAATAAAAAAATTATATATTAATTGTATATATTATAAAATAAATGGTATAATATTATAATTATTGTATAGAAACATATTTAACATAAATGTATTTTACAGAATTAAATTTAAATAGTTTCACGAGGAAAAACTAGATGGCGTATTAAGCAAAACTCTTCTCGTAAGAAAATAATATTTCTGTGGACTACAAATACTCTACTCAAAGCAATTTTCTGACGATCCTTCAAAGGTCATATGGGAAATGATGATTTGGTTTTGCTCGTTGTTACGAGATGCCTGCACCGACATTTGTTACGACTATTGCAGGTTAAACCTCTCTGATCCCTAATCATTTTTTAATTTTATAACTTAAAATAATTATAATTATTATTAAAACGTAATTTCAGATGTCAACTATATACAGAATTTTATTAATGCCCTGCTGAAAGAAACTTAAAGTTTCGATTTCTGATCATTATTTTACATAGTACGTTATGTTAGATTTAAAAAAAAAAAAATGATTGTCGACAAAAGGAGAGCGATTGTTAATTATATATATATATATTTTCTATTCACTTGTTTTAATAACATAGATTTTATTTCAGTACAAAATTTAATTGAATATAAAATAAGAACAAATATTATAAATACCGAAGATAATGGTAGTAGTAAAGTTACATTTTTATCAAAGTTCAATATACAATGTTTCTGTAGATAAATTTGTGAGAATAACTCGAGTTGTTTTTCGAATAGGATTTAAAGTCAAAATAAAACAGAACGAAGACATAGTTTCTATAAGCTAAAAATAATCGATATTTTCTTAACCGTTTGGTAAAAGTTAAAAAGATTCGTAAGTAAGGTTAAAAGCGCGGTTTGTAAAAATTAAAGCAAAGAGGCAAATGCTGACAGGTGTCTGCGACAAGAAGAATAAAGGAGGGAGGTAACTGAACCGACGCGCGCCACGGCGCTGAACGGACCCTTTAGAAATAGGGTTATGTATTAATATAAAAAAGATTAACAGTTAGAATCCATAAAGATACCGTTGGAACAATGCTAATTAAAATGTTAGCACTTAGATAGGTTGAAACAACTGATAAGAATGAAATATATGTAAAAGGGGGGAAAAAGAGATAGCAACTTTTCCTACTTACTTTCGAAGGCTTGAAGAAATAGCTCATGGTCTGCCTGTATTTGATCCATTCGCGGGCCCTTTTGTCCATCTAATTCTTTATCCCGCTTCTTTGGGGGCATTTTCACCTTAATATTTACAGATTATTCCACAGAAAGTCACACTTTTTTCCCGTGTAAAATCCGATGACAACACCCGCCCCGCGCGAAAACTGCGGCACTCGACTGCCACTGACGGAAGCGCGCTCTACCGCCGTTATTTTGTATTTGTTTCTCAAATCCACGAATCATAAAATAATTAGTACTACATCATACCGACACCTGATTTTATGCGGCACTTATTGCACGTGGTCGATCACGTGATCGATACATCCACCAATTACAACGATTAGATAAATGGAGATCATCCAATGATATCGACTAATTGTTGTAATTCTTCTTAAAAAAAATTCAATAATATTGAACGATATTTATTGTAACATTAAAAAGAAACTCAATTATAAATGCATTATCAATGGAATTATATTTTTACGTATTTAAACGTAAAGAACCTTTCTTTTTCGTTAGTTAATCAAATTCAGTATTGAATTAATAACTTTTTTACATCAATTTCTTTCTGTTATTATCATGAGCCGTATATTCGTATATAATCGTTTAAATGTTAAGTGAATTTAATGTTATTTATCATTTTGTAAACTCTATTTAAGAATAAAGTGAAAGTCATTCCCAAGAACTGTTACATAAGTTTTGGTAGACCTGAAATCATTTTGATTGGTCAGCAGAATACAGTCCATCATGGAGTATGTCGGTAGGTATTGAATCCTGCCAATTTATTGTCCTATCTTTTGAAAAAACTATTAAGAATAATCGTGTGTCCTTACGAATGATTATTTTTATTATTTTGTATATTAAACATTTATTTATTCCTTCTTAAAAATTGATTTATTAGGGAACATTCGAAATAACAACATATATATGTAACTTTGTTAATTTTACTATAACAATGATATTCTTCATTTTAAATAAGTACATTACGTACGTATTTATAAAATTATTTAACGTCTAAACAATTATTGATTAGAAAATATTTTCATTGAGAATATGATTTTTTGTTTAAATCAATTTTATGCAACATAACCTTAACGTTTATTGTTTGAGCGTATGAAACAGGTGGACTTTTGTATGATTTCATTACCGTGCATCAACAAATTCATCGATTTTATATAATTAAAATTTTAATTATCGAATCTCTCGTTATAGTTTTTATCTTCAATAATTAAAGAAGTTTAGAGTCATTCAAATTGTTCACTATGTTTTTCTTTTTATTGTTTATGTAGGTACTACCAAAAGTGACGAAAATGACAAATGTTGTAATCCAACTGTGTGCCCAGAAATAGTAGCCAATTCCAAGTCAGATGAAAATGCATCGGAAAAAACAAATGTAGTTAGAACGGATGAAGAAAATGCTAGTGTACAAAAAGAAGAAGAAGAAGAAGAACAAAAACAACAACAACAACAACAACATACCGAAGATGCAGCTGCTGCTACAACATCGCAAAATATATCAGAAGAAAAAATAGACTTTAAAGTAATCTACAACAAACAGAAGATAAATGTTAATTTTGCATTAGATGGGACCGTGGCTGAATTGAAAACGCACCTTCAAAATATTATTTCAGTGCCCCATGTAATGCAGAAAGTTATGTTTAAAGGATTAGCCAAAGATGAACAAACGCTTAGAAACTTGGGAGTTACAAAAGGTGAAGATTGTAACATTGATACTTTTCCTATATTAAATGATTATATCATGAAATTTCAAATAGATTATCGAATTTTATATTTGCGAAGGTGCCAAAGTCATGATAGTAGGATCAAAACTAGATGACATATTAGCCGTATCTATTCCGTCAAAGCAAGACCTCGCTGATGAAGCTAGTTCTGCTGCAAGTAAGGAACCTTTATCGCAACAAAAAGTACACCGTAAAGTTCTAGATAAAGGTATGCCGGATGATGTCATGCCTGGTATTTTAGATAGTAAGGTAATCAAATATTCCAAACTATAGACAAATCCACTAAAAACTTGCAGAACCGAATAAAAACATTTTAGTTTCTTCTCGTAGGAACCATTACCTGAATTTCCTATCTCCGGAATGTTGAATAAATCTGGCGGAAAAGTTAGGCTTACATTTAAATTGGAACAAGATCAACTTTGGATCGGTACAAAAGAAAGAACAGACAAACTACCTATGAACTCAATAAAAGGTGTCATTAGCGAACCAATAACTGATCATCCAGAGTATCACATTATGGTATTTTTAAATATTGGATATTATTATTTTTCTTTTTCTTTAATAATAAACTTTAATTATTAATTTGTTAAATAACATAGGGTATACAATTAGGCACAACAGAAGCATCAAGATATTGGATATACTGGGTTCCAGCACAATACATATCAGCCATCAAAGATGCTATTCTTGGAAAATGGTGTTATTTCTGATCAAGTGCAAATGGAAATTTTGTTTTCTCGAAAAACAATGTGTAATCGAGTGTAAACATTGACACAAATACGATTGTGCTAGTCACACACTTTTAACAGTAAGTAATAACTTATTTTGCGTTGAAATGTCACTAAGGAGTCCCAATAAAAATAATTTGTTTTAGTAAAGAGTATCTTATATAGATGATTAAGATTTCAGTTAATAATTACTGTTATATGATATGCGTCTCTATTCATTCTGCCAATGTTTCAGGTTCTTAGAATAAACTTTTAAAAGTGCTTTTAAATTAATGTGACACATGACATATTCTGTGATTATTGGAACTTCCATAGCTCATAATCTATTACAATGTTACACAGTTTAAAGTGCAGTTTCTTTTTCTAGGAAGGGGGGGAGTGATACTGAAATTATTACGATTGCGTTACGTCAAATTTATAAATTGTCATAATTAAAATGTGAAAATTACGAAAAGAACATTGTTTTTATCTGGACGCTTTAACAGAAAAAAATTGTAGTTAAACGAATGAATCAATTGGAAAATTTCAAATTTTTCTGATTATTTAAATACGGGCTTTTGAAATGTAGAATGAAAGTGAACATTTTGTAAAATTACATTTGTAGGAAGAAGCGAAGAAAGAAGTTATGATGTTGCATTTACTGACATTTGAAGTTCGTCGAGAAATATTTCATCTGATTAAACATAATTGTGGATATTTTTTTGAATCAATTGTTTACTTATTCAAAATCAATTTATAAGACACATTTGAAACAATTTTACAATTAAAAAGCAAGTTTTTCTTGTTTGCTTTATACATTAACCACATTTATAAATTTTATTACATCACAGAGCATCGTATGATAATAATTAATATATAATATTGCATCTCTATTTATCTCTCTTTCTGCGATAAAAATGAAAACTTACTGCTTTGTGATAATAAGCAAGATAATAATAAAAACTCAATATTAATGTACACTAACATAAAATAACAACGAATTCCACTCTACCTTAAATTACAAAATATACTCGAACTATTTTCACATTGGCCTAGGGATAAAAAAAAATGATATTGTAAAGATGAAGAAAAAGAAAAAAAAAAAAAAGAAGATGAAATTATATATCAAATCCTTGCTGTCTTGAAATCCATACGGATTGCATCTCGACGAGCACAAATAAAAGATATTATGTAGCTTATTTAGTATTATAACTCTTGTAAATTAGGTTTTATACCGTGTAATATGTGTAATTTAAATGGAAGTACTGACACGATTAAAAAA